TTAAATTTAAAAAAGTTAAAAAAAATTGAAGATTGTCTACAAAATCTCGCTATACAGATCGGACTCATTAGTGATCCTCCTGTTTGCAGCCTCCTAAACTCTGGGATTTCAGGTCCCCCACCATGCCGGGTCTCATGCTGGGGATCGAACCATGGTTCCTGAGTCTGCCTAAGCAGGCACTTTAATCCACCGAGCTATCTGGCTGGCCCTGAAGATTGTTTTTTGTAAGTATCAACAGATTCAGATCAGTGTATATGTAGAAGCTAAAATGGGCTCTGTTGTATATAAAAATTAGTATATAAGGAAGAATTTATTAAAAAACTTCACTGCAAATGCTTCAGTGATGTCTCACTGTTTTTTAAGTACTTTTGAAAGATAGTCTTTAAAACAGAAACTTCATAAGAACTGAAAAAATGAGTGGTTTATTATTAATAGTACTATTAATAAATTTTTCAAAAGGAAAAGAACAAAGAAAGAATTATAAAATAATACATAAGAGTTAAATATTACACAAATGATTTGGAAACATTAATGCATTTATTCATCGAAAATCAAGCCAGGCATGGTGGTGCAACCCGTAATCCCAATATTTTTTTACCTATCTGAAGGAAAAAAGTCATAAAGTCAATACCAGTTTGGACCACTAGCAAGACTTTGTCTAAAGAAAGGTTTGGGGCTGCACTCTAGTAGTGGAGCACCCCTGGGTTTGATCTCCTGTACTATGAAAGGAAGAAAGAAAGCCAGCAAGATGTGGTGCCACACATTTATAATCCTGGCACTAGGAGGCTGAGACAGGAGGATCATTGTGAGCTCAAGGCCAGCCTGTACTACCTAGTGAGACCCTGTCTCAAAATAAACAATCTAAAAAAAAAAAGCAAGCTAGAGATTGCTGTGCTATACACCCAGGTAAATTCTAGATTAATTTAAAAGTTAAATGAAGAATACAAACAACAAAAGTAGAAAAAATATAGATACTTTTCTATAAGAAAAATGCTTAATCTCAGAACTGGCAAAGAAAGCATAAATACTATAGAAAAAAGTGGTTAAAATATTCCTCCTATGGCATCTTATATAACAGTGATGGTGAAGCTCTTAGAGACTGAGTGCCCAAACTTCAGCCTAAAACCCACTTTAGGCTGCCCACACTGCTATTAAACCTAAATAAAAGGGCCAGTGAGATAGCTCAGCAGACTGAATGCCTGCTTAGGCAAGCACAGGGACCGGGGCTCGATCCCCACCACCACATACTCCGGCACCACATGCCACACCCTTCCCAGGGCACACTGAGCCAGCCACTAAGACCAGACGTGGTGGCACATGCCTGTAATCCCAGCCCTGAGGAGGCTGAAAACAGGAGGATCACTGTGAGTCCTAGCTGCATAGTGAGACCCTGTACCAAAAACATTAAAAAATAATAATAAATTCTAAAATAAACCTGAGTAAAGAGGTTTGAGTTTAGAAAAACAACTCATACATAACATTTTTTTTTCTTTTCTTCCTTTTTTTTTTTTTTGGACTAGGGATTGAAGCCAGGGCTTTGTGCATGCTACTCAAGTGCTCAGCCACTGAGCTACGTCCCCAGACCAAACATCTTTTGTCTTAAAAGGAAAACAAACACGTATGCCATAGGTTCTCCACCACGGTTCTATAGTCATATAAAATATAGTCATGGCCAGACATACTGGTGCATCCAACACCAGCAGTAGGAGGCTGAGGCAGGAGGATCACTGAGAGTTCAAGGCCGGACTATAACACAGGTTTAAGGCCAGCCTAAACTACATAGCTTAACCCTGCCTCAAAAAGAAAACAAGCTGTAAAACTGGACATGATGTCGCATGTCTGTAAACTCAGTGCTCAGAAGGCTGAGGCAGAAGGACCAGGAATGCAAGGCCAGCCTGGACTAAATAGTGAGACGCTGCCTGGAAAAAGCAAACAACAACAGAGATATAGCCATCGAGAAACCGTAGAAACCACGGGGAGCCAAGTGTGGTGGCGCAACCTGTAATCCCGGCACTGGGGAGGCCAAGGCAGGAGGATCATGGACAGTTCAAGGCCAGGCTGAGCTACATAATGAGTCCCTGTCCCAAAAGATAAAAACAAAGCAAAACAAAAGAAACCATGGGGAAATGATCATGAACTAATGAGAAGAAAGGATAGAAAAAAGATTTGCTAAGATATAATATGAAAACCCAGTCGATTGCTCTCCATTTATAAAGCAACCCTTTGTTTTTGTTTTTTGTATCAGGACTTGAACTCACGACCTCATGCTGGTCAGGTAGGCACTGTGCTGCTGAGCTATATCCCCAGTCCCAAAGCAACACTTTTTAAATGTCATAAATGTTCTTCCCCCCCCCCTTGGTTGGTTTTCAAATTTTTTTCCGTTTTAAAAAAAAAAAGACAAAGAGAAACTACACAAAATCTTCGCCAGAGAGGCAGAGCACGATCTGTCAGGCGCTTGCAGCGCCTGAGTGGCTCCCTCCCTGTGGGGAGCCTGGGTGGGGGCCCAGCCAGGAAGAGGCCTCTGGGCAGAGAGGCCAGAGTTGCACACAGACTTGGTAGCCACCCTGCTGCTTCCTGAATGAGCTCCCGGGCTGGCCAGGGCCATCTCTACTGAAAGGCCTTGTAGTCCAGCCTTGGGCTGCTGGCAAGTGGAGCTACCCACGGAGCTTTCCAGGCCACTGTAAACTTTTAACACCATGGCTAGCAGAGCCGGGGGCCAGCAGAGTGCTGCGGGTGTCACCAGCAGCTTCTGGAGTTGGGCCTGAGGCCTTGAGGCTGCCCTGCTCCTAACCCTCTGAACTACAGGCTGCTGTCTGTCCTCAGTGCACTCCGAGACATCTTCCCTCCCCACTGAAGTCCTTTCCTGCTGAAGCCCCTCTGCCCTCCACAAAGCCCCCATGTGCCCCAAAAGCACCCACCCCAGGCCACTCTGCTGTGCATAACTGCTTTCTCCAGAAAGCCTCCACCTTAGGCACAGGGCTCCTGTGTCTGCCATACCTACAAGCTGCCATATCTTAGTTCCTGCCATAATCAGAGGCTATCCTCACTTGGGTCACCAGGCTTAGCAAAAAGAAATACAGCACCCGCCAGTTAAACTGGAACTCCACATTAACTATCAAGCATAGTTTTTAGTATAAATACATCCCATCTATTTTACGTACCTCACCTCTGCTCCTGCAACTCATAGGAAATCCTGTCTTCTCTCTGTCATGCTGTAAATCACTGTCTCCTTAAACCCCTGGGAATCCTGTCCTCTCTCCTTCCCTAGAACATGAAATGCTGACCCTGCTGTGGTCCTTTCCACCCTGCTCTCCTAGATCCTTAGTGCTGACACCTCACTGACAAGCAGATACCCCACTACCCCACGTCCACACTGAGCATCGTCATTTCCCCATTGGCCACCTGCTGTCCAGAAAATGGCAGCACTCTGGTTCCCAAGGAAAGTGGTCTGTCTCTGTGTCCCTCCATGGGAGTACTTTACACTAGCGTATATTCATTTAGCTCAATGTGGGCAGGTCCTGTGCTGAGCAGCCCAGTTTCTGCAATACCTTATGAAGCAGTACTATCAGTCTGACTTTAGAAGCAGCCCAAGATCACACCCTGTAAGAGCAGTCAAATATGCATAGATAAAATGTGAGCAAAAAGACATATTTAAAGGTACCTACAGGAGTGGGGAGATAGCTTGTCAGTCTAAGCACCTGCCTGGCAAGCACAAGGACCCAGGTTTGAACCCTGGTACCCCATGCAGTGCTGGCCCCAGAACCCCATGTGTGTTGTGCCAACCACCAAAACCAAGCTTGGTGTGCAGGCCTATAATCCCAGAACCGCGAGTGCTGAGACAGGAGGATCACTATGAGTCTGAGCTGCATAGCGAAATCCTGTACCAAATAAATAAATAATAAAGTACCTACAAAAATACATATTTAAATATATTTTTTAAAAAATTACAGTGAATGTTTCTGTTGTTTTTACTCTTCAAAATAAAATAAAAAATTACAGTGAAGGACACATTGTCATTAATCTCCCTCAACATATTCCTCTTGCTTCAAACATACTTATCCCATCACTCTTGCTATTTTCTGAAGCATTTCTGGAAGTCCTCTTTTTTTTTTTGGTAGAACCGAGGATTGAACTCAGGCCCTTGCACTTGCCAGGGAAATGCTTTATTCCACTGAGCCATCTCCCCAGCCTGGAAATCCTCTTTTCTCAGTATCTTTCAAGTGGCTTCCTTGATGTCCTGAAGGGATCCAAAACATCTCCAGCAATTTCCATCCAATAAAACCCCCTTCACCTTGTTCACTAGATTTGGTACTATGCAACTCCTGGCTCTTCATCCAAGTCAAAATGACCATGAAAAAAATAAAATAAAATAAAAATAAAAAATAAAAAATGACCATGAAAGGTGAACACTTTTAGTGGATTAGGGACACTGAGGCAGCTGCAACAGCACAACTGAAGATTCTCTCAAAAGAGGACTTGCAGAGCAGCTTCTAAAAGTGGTCAGAATGAAGGGATACGTGCATTTGAAGCAAAGGGGAGTTTTGGAGGGACCTCATAGTGTGACTCCAAAACCTTAGGTAAACCCAGATTAAAGTAGCATTTGCTGGACACGAAGTATTTTGTAAGTCCTCTAACAAGCATCCATGTTGAGCCACACCATACACTCCAGCTCACTCCTGCTGCTTGGTCCCCTCAAAACCCCAGGCTCAGCCTAACTGGGAAACTCCCAGCACCCCGCCCACCCCAACGCAGTCCCCTTGGCTGTGAATTCTCACACTTGAGAAGAGAGAGCTGCACGGGGCTATGCTGCCCGCATGCCTGGCATCTGGAGTTGGCCCAGTGGATCCATGCCTGTGGTCCCTGCTGGCTGGCACTCCCCCCTCCCCACCCCTACTATAAATAACCCCCACCCCCACCCTGCTTCGGGCTGCCAGGCTGCTACAGCAAGAGTTTCCATGAGGTCAGCTTCCCAGAGAGGCCCAAGTCCCTGCCGCACTCACCTCTGGCTGAGGCCTGTGGCCAGCTCGTCCCTGCACAGGGCTGTCCCTTGAACTGTGCTTCCGGCGGGCAGGGGGCGTGGGCACCTGGGCAGAGACTTGAGGTGGTACCTTCCCAAAGCTCTGGGCTCCATTAGAGCCATTCAAGGAAGAGGGGGGCTGGCTATCAGCGCGAGGCTCCGCTTTGGGCTTCGGAGGGGCAAATCTCTTCCTGTTGAAAGGTAGAGCCGGCTGGGGAACCAAGGAGGGGGTGTGCTGGCCAGGACTGGTGGGCGTTGCAGCACCTCTGAACCGGATGGGCACCTTGCCAGGAGGAACCTCTGCAGGTGCCCTGACACTAGACGGCTGGGGCTCCCCCTGTCCCCGAGGCCTGACTGCCAAGGTGCTCTCCATATACATGTCCTTCAGAGAGAAATACCCCTCCTGGCCTGGGCCTGGGGCTGGGGTGACAGTGGGGGGCTGGGCAGGGCTTTGGGCAGAGGCATCATGGGCCCCATCTTGAGTACCCACGGCAGGGGGTGGCTTCCTGACACTACCAGTCTCAGGCGGGCCAGGCCCTGGAGCTGCCCGGCCTCTGCGCTGGGCCTGAACCTGCTCCGTGCCCACAGGCCCCTGTGTCCCACAGGAAGCAGGCTGGCCTGAAGGGACACAGTTTTCTGCAGAGTGGTGACTTCGGGCTGCCTTCTCCGACTCTGGTGTTTTTATCCCCGGCTTGGATTCCTCATCTTTCCTTTTCTTCTTGGCCCCAAACTCCTTCTGGGGGGCTCTTGAAGGCCCCCGCTCCATGGCCTCACAGATGTAGGTCAGCAAGCCGTGCTCCCCGTCCTCACCATTCTCTGGAGCCGGCTCCCCATTGGTGGGCACCTCAGCAGGAGCAAAGCTGTTGATTAGACCCAAACTGGGGTGCTGAGCAGACTCTGTCTCACCCTCCTGCCAAGCTTCCGGGGCCTCATCCTTAGCCTCCCTGGATGGGAATGGGGCTGAGGGGACAGACACCTCAGGTCCACTCAGGCGTCTCTTGCGCTGGAAGCGGTCAGGGCTGAGCTTGCGCAGTGCCTCAGCCTCCCCAGCTGCCTCTTTCCCCTGCCGCCAGCTCTGCTCCAGCTCCCGCATCTTGGCTGCAGCCTTGCGCTTCAGCTTGGCGAACCAACGCTGGTGGATCTTGTACTCAGTCATGGTCCCTACCTCCAGGACCCCTGAGCAGGATACAATGCCCTTTGTGTTCCGGGCAGAGGCCTGGTAGATGGCAGCATCTTCTTCTCGACACCTAAAGCAGGAAGGTGAGGTGAGTGCCATGGCCCACCTTACATGTCACCTCCTACCATACCCTTCATTCAAGGGGAGGAAACGAAGACTAAAAGAGGATGGCCCCTGTCCAAGGTCATGTTGTCCCAGGAGGGATTAGACTCAGAGCTCAGGAGAGCTCTCTTGGAAAGCAGGTGACCAGCACGGCCCCTTGTGAAGTAAGGGTGACTCAGTTGCTTTTTTTGGCTGCTGACTTCATGGAAAATGTTTCAGTGGGGTTGTTCTCAGTTCTGTGGCTGTCAGAGATCCTCCCTCCCTGGCCTCAGGAGATCCCAGGCTTTGGAAGGCAAACACAGCTCACCAGGTGGCTCAGCTGGGCCCAGGACCCTGTCCTCTAGTCCAGAGGGTGTCTAGCCATCTCCAATGAGAACACTGTGCCCTGGGGTTCGGGCAGAGTGTGCACCACGCCTCTTCTCCTCACCTGTACAGCTGCAGGGTGTGGCGGTTGCCCTGGTGCGTGATCTCGTACTTAGGCAAGCCACAGTAGCGGTCCAGTTCTGTGTCATCCTTGTACCAGGTCACCTCTGGCTCTGGGTATCCTGAAGAGGAAGTGGGACACTGAGTTGCAGTAAGGTGAGTTCCAAAACAGTGGGAAGACAGAACAACAGGCCTGGCTGCCCCCAGACCGACCACTCTGGGCCTGCCGGACCCACAGTTTCCCTGTAGGGCTCAGCCAATGTTTTAGTAACTACAGCCTGGCACGCAGCTGAACACTGGAATAAAACTATGCCGAGAAACCCACTAGCCTCCTAGTTGGAAGTATAGAATTTCTGGAAATCCTTGATGGGTAGTAATCTGGTCCCTCTCTACAGTAGCACATCCTACAGCCTCAGTTACAAGGGCTCTGTTATGGTTTGTGTCTCGTTGTCCCACCAAAGCCTCATGTAGTCATGGGGTGAGGACTTCTAGAGTTTGTGTCAACTCATGATCCACTGGGATTATGTGTGATCCAAGGCTGGGATTATGGGTCTTAGTACTGCTGGGATTACCCATAGGTGGGTAAGTACTGGGAAGTACCCGTAGGTGTGAGTACTTGCCCTACCCTGGGGTAGGTAATTTGCATTACAATGTAAGGTGGGAAGAGAAGCTAGCTGCTTGAGCTGCTGCTACCCCTCCCTTGTGCTCTTGCTCTTTGCCGCCACCACGAAAGGTTGCTTTCTGCTCTGTGCTGCTCTGCCTTGGACCAGATGAGTATGGACGGAAACCTCCAGTAACTGTGAGCTAAATAAACCTTTCCTTCCTTCAGTTTGAGTGTCAGGTATTTGTCCCAGCAATGAGAGAAGAGTAACTAAGACATGCTCTCTCCTCAAAGGTCTCCCTAGCCCCTCCACAGCCATCACTGCCCACAGCCCTCCTTCTATCGTTCCAAGTTCCTGAACTGGACTGACAGTGCACCTAAGCCAGCCCTCAGCACCTGCCCTTTCACTCATATGCTATCACCAGTGAGACCCACTGAGGTGTCCTCCCTGACCTTTTTCTTTGGGGACTCCCAGGCCACCCACAAGGAAGATCTCCTCGCTGTCACAGGCACACACATCTTGCCTCCCTGCCACAGCTGAGTGGCCAGAGATGGTGAGTTCCCTCCAGTGGAACCAGAAGTAGGCAGTCTAATCCAGCCTTTGACGTAGTATTTGGGAGTGAGGACCAAGAGACAGCCTACCATTGTGTCTGGATATAATTTTGAAGGATTTAGGCAGCTAAAAAATACATAAAGCTGATCTGCAATGAGAGAAAAAAATAAAACTGACATTCAGGACAGAACAAGGGGTGGGAAGAAGAGAACCCCAGCAACTTCCAAAGCCAGTTCCAGTCATGCCACACTCCTCAGGCCCAGTCCAGGAAGCTCCTCCTCTAGCAGGGGGTTCTGCTTCATATCTTATTCTGACTCCAACTGAACAGCACTACTTGGTAGAGATCAAGGACTCCTAACACTCACTCCAACATACACAAGCCTGAAGGCCCAGTCTCTGCAGAAAAAAGACCCACACGCGGGTAGGAGAGCACCACACACGGTGCCTGGCATCAGCACACACTCTGCCTGCCCTGCGGCCAGGGGATAAACCACACTCCTCTCCCCGTCTCCAGCACTCTTCTTGCTCCGTCTGCTTCCCTGCACTCCGCCTGTTTGCTGTACCAGTCCCAGCAGCACGGGAGCTTCTGCACCGCTGCCCTTCCTTTAAAAACTGCATTTGGCTCCATGTCTTCCTTTAGTTCCTGCCATCTCTCTCCTTTACAAAATAAAACATTAAAAGAGCTCTCTGAAGCCAGTGGGGTGGTGCACACCTATAACCCCAGCACTCTGGAAGACTGAGGTAGGAAAATTGCAAATTCAAAGCCAGTTCAAAAAATAAAATTCAAAAAGTAAAGAGTAGGGGGTGTGGCTCAGTGATAAAGCGCCCCTGGATTTGCCCCCCAATTTTTAAAAAAGGGGGTTCAGACCAGACAAGGTGCCACCCACCTATAATCTCAGCTACTCAGGAGGCTGAGCCAGAAGGCTCACGCCTGGCCAACAAACCAAGACCCCATCTCAAATAACAACAAAACAACAATAGTATTGATGGGCCTGCCAGATAGCTCCACAGATTGAAGTGCCTGCTTAGGCAGATGCAGGGGCTGGAAGTTTGATCCCTGGGCTGCCATGCTGGCCCCGCCCCCAGGGTGCGCTGAGACAGCAATTAATACTGGGCTTGGTGGCACACACCTGTAATCCCAGAGCTTGGGAGGCTAAAAACAGGAGAATAGCTACAAGTGCAATCTGTGTAGTGAGACCCTGCAGATTCTACACTAAATACAAATCATAATCATAATCATAATGAGTTGCCTGTACTTGCTATCATCATTTCTTTTCCCCCAACCAGGCCTCTACCCAACACTGCACCAGAATTACCCTTGTCAAGGACATCCATGAATTGCACATGGCCAGTGCCAAGCCAGCTCTTTGGTGGAACGAGGGATTGAACTAAGGCCCTTTGTTTGCCAGGCAAGCACTTATTCTACTGAGCTACCTCCCCGGCCCCCCAAGCCAGCTCTTATGCCCTACCTATCTGGCCCATGTGCCCACTTCTGGAAGGCTCTTCCTCCTTCTGGCTATTCCCCAAACTCCATGAGCTACACCCCCTGGTCTCTTTCAAAGTCTTCGCTCACCACCTAGACCAGCCCCAGGGCTCAGGGATTGGGGCCACTCATAAGCCAGGGATTGAATCTTGGCTTGGCTTTTGGAAGCCTGTAAACTCTGGACCTCCACATCTAGCCCAGCCCCTCCCTGCCCACACACCTGAGTCCCGAGCCCTGAGCCCAGAGCTGTGTGCACACTTGACACTCTCGGAGGCCATGAACCACCTCCTCAGCTCCCCTCCTCACCTGCCCAAGGGGCCTCAGAACATGCTCTACTGTTCTCACAGCAGGCCAACTGTGACGTGCTGGCCACCCTCTGTCCCTTCTTCCTCTCACAGCTTCTTGGTCCACCTCGGGAAGAGCTCCAGGAGCCAGTCATTGCCATCCTCTCCCACTTGGATTTCACCAAGCTCCCCACTACCACCTTGGCGTCTTGGCAGTCCCAGTCTCAGTCCACCAGCCAACATGAACTTGTGAACCCAGAGCCCAGCCTTGAGCAGCCCTGGAGCCTGGGGTCCCCTTCCTATACTGCTTGGTGCCCTCGCTCCTGGCACCCCAGCCTCCTGCCACTCACCTCTGACACAGCTAGCATCTTCCAGGTCAGCCCCACAAAGGCAGCAGCTCTCCCTCAGTGCTTCCTGCCCCTCCTCATAGGCTTGTCCCGCCCATGAAACACATTGCTCCTGACTTATAAGCAATGAGTGCATTGCCTGTGAGTGAATTGGTGCCCCTCCTGCCCACCCTCAGTGTCAGCTTCAGGACACTGGGGACTTCTCTGTGCTATTTCCAACTTGTCCCCACTTTTAGCACCACGCCTAGGAGGAAATCAACCTATGTTGAATATTTATAAATTATATGGAAGATCTCAGGGGGCAGAGACTGGGCGAGGAGTGCATGGGGGCCTTTGGAGAAAGCAGCATGCGAACAAGACTTCAAGGACACACGGAACCTCAGGAGATGGCTCCTTGCACCCATACAGCCCCCTGCATGCCTGGTGCCCCTCGTGCCAGGCTGCTGTTCTCCTATCTGGCCATTCTGTCCCACCCCTGTCCATTCATATCCTCTCTGTGTGATGGCACACAGGTGGTGCAGGAAATAGCACCTCAGAACCTCAGCTCCGGCTCCTCCCCAGATGTCAAATCTGATGCCATCCACACAGCATGGCTCCGGCATTGACCTCCTGGCCTCTGTCTCTCCTGTGCCGGTCTCAAGTGAGGCTCTGTGCCTGCCACCTGTGACAGTGCACACACATGAGAGCTCCTTGGCAAAACCCCGCTGGAGCACAACCCACAGGGAGGAAATGAGTGGACAAGGGTAGGACAGGATGGCCAGACAGAGGAACAGTAGCCTGGCATGAGGGGCACCAGGCATGCAGGGGACTGTATGGGTGCAAGGAGCCAGGGGGAGGCTGCAGCTGGCCACCCAGGACACTGAGCAGAGCTGGCTGTAAAGTGAGCCCTGAATTTCCACTGTGAGCTAAAGCCCCGGGTTACATCACTGCGCATGCGGCCCCTGACAGCACAGGTGTCCCCACAACCCAGCAGAATGATCTCATCCCACCAGGCCTAGGCAGAACCTCCCACCCTGTGACCAGGCAGTGTAGCCCCAGCTGCTAGGACACCTGGTTGGTGAGGGGCAGGGCCATCTGCAGCTGAGGGCTTCACACTGACAAGGAGCCTTGGACATACAGAATATAGCGCCTGGTCGCTGGGCTGCATGAGCTAGTCCTAAAACAGCCTGGTGGCACAGGCAGACAAGCACACACATGTGCACACAGCAGAACCTGAGCCCTCTGTCCCCCTGAGAATCCCTATCACAGCCCAGGATCAACGCAGACACCCAACTTGGAGCTCCTTCCCAACCATTCCTGTTTAGCAGAACTCAGCTCCAGAAGAAGAGTTGGAAATGTAGATTTTCAAAAAACTTCTACATACAGAACTTATTTGGCCCTCGGAGCAACCCTGTGCTGATGTTCACTGCCACCTTCACCAAGCGCCAGAGGCTGAGCTGAACTCTCTTCATGTATTATCTCATCCAATCCTTAGAGGACCCCAGGAGTGCTCGGTCCTGAGCTTCAACTGAAGAAAAAGGAAATCAAGGCCATGAAACAGCGGCTCCATCCCAAAGTCACAGAGAGCAGCAGAGCAGCCAGCATTTAAGTCTCTCTCGGCTATAAAATGGCAAATTTTTAAACCCTGGTTTACACAAAGGGAGAACAAGTTCCAGAGAAGCTAAATGACTCCCCCAGGATCACACAGCTGGCATGTGCTATAGCCCTAGGTGCTCTTTCCAATGAGAATTCTGATATTTTATTTTATTTTATTTTATTTTAACATTTATTGTGTGTGTGTGTGTGTGTGTGTGTGTGTGTGTGTGTGGCCAGCTCAGCCCACCAGGGGGAGCGGCTGGCTGGCATGTGGTGCTGGATGATTGAACCGTGGTCCCTGTGCTCTGCCAAGCTTGTTCCAAGTAGGTGCTTTAGACCACTGAGCCATCTCTCCAGCCCCAAGAGAATTCTGATATTAACATCTGATTTTTTTTTTTTCTCCCAACTGTCATCACATTCGACTTATTTCTCTAAAAAGAATTTCTTTGGAAACTTGGTTTTTCTAAAGTCTCAGCGCCTTGCTCACATCTGTGCCCTGCGGATGCTTCCACTTCCCACCCAACATTCGGGCACAGCCCCACAGGGAATGTGCACTGGGGTGGAGGACAGCAACAGAGGCAGCCACTGTGGACAGAAATGCACTCTCAGGATGGAGGCCTCCTGAGGCCCACCAAGCCCAGCCTCAGGGGAAGACTTCCAGAGCCTCCTCCTCCTCCTGCAGGCCCTCAAGTGTGTCCCACCCCTGCAACCAGCAGGGGCAGCATCAGGCATTCTCACCTAGACCAGACCCTAACCCCCAGGAAAGCGCCGGTGGCCTGTGTCTGGTGGGCCCTTAGCAGCTACCTGTTCCAGCCTATTTAGGGCCTACCACTGACCGAGGGAGGAGACAGAGATCTGTGGCCACTCTGTCTCCATGGAATGAGCTGGGGCAGCATGGTAGTGTCACAGAGAGGCCACAGCTGGTCACCACCAGCCACCTCTCCAGTCTGGGCAGACCTGATTTCTGTTTCCTTAGCACCTAGAACATGCTGCTTCTTGTCATCTCCCTCCTCCTCTTTCCTATGGTCTACATTTTCTCTGTGAAGGCTGGAAAAGGCTTGCTTATGAGACATACTATGCTAATCTTTCCTAATCTCCTGCATTAAATCAGAGCTGAGTAAGGGAAGATACAAGAGAGCATGAGGTGTAGAGGTGGGGCAGGCCCAGGGGCGATGCAGCAGGCCTTGGCAGGGAGGGCTCCCCACCTGGCTGGCAATCATGAGATACAGGGAGAAAGTTTACTCCAATGGGTTGGGCTTAAAAGGGGAAAAAGTTATTCCCATGATGACACTGGGAACAAGATGTTCTGAAACTCTCCCAAAAGGTCAGGTTAAAAGACAACAAAGGAGAGGGGAGGATAAGAAAATAAGAGAACAAGTTCATGGAAACAAACATCCACAGCAGCATGCAGGAAGAAAGGCAAAGGAAAACAGGAACAGGAAGCCAACAATAAAACATCAGCTTTCCTAGAACTAAAGCCTGCATCTCAGTTCCCAACTGAAATATCAGAGCAGACCCTAGAAAAAAGACCTGCTCAAAGGGCCCTGTTATGGGATAACAGGATGCTCTTCCAAGCTCTCTTCCAGAGAGAAAAACTGGTCACCTGCAAAGAATTAGCCTCAAACTGCCTTGCTACTCTGAACAGCAACACTGCAAGGAAGAAGACAGTAGGGTAAGACCTTTAAAATTCTGAAGGAAAATTATTTTTAATTTAGAGTTCTATACCCAGCCAAACTTTCCACTAGGAATAATTGCTGAAAGTGATATTTTCAGACACAATGAGTCTGACATTTATTTTCCATGCACTCTTTCCAGGGAATTACCAAATCAAGAGCATAAATCAAGAAAGAGAACATATGGAGTGCCCAAATCAGGAAATCGTCACAGGAGAAAGGTTAAGACACATGACAATTGTGTACGAGCCATGGTGCAGCAAAAGGACACAGGCGAGTCAGGTCCAGAACTTGCACAAAGCGTCTTCTGCTTGCTATGCCACCTCCAGAACCTGGTGAAGCTACAGGAAGCAACGCTTTGACAAAGCAAGAGAAGAAATCAAGGAGGAGAATAGGGTCCAGGAAACTGCCGGGTGCACCCTGTCATCCCAGCACTCGGGAGGTGGAGGCAAGAGGATTGGGACTTTGGGCCAGAATGGGCTACATAGCAAGACCTAGTCTCAAATACTTGACGAAAACGAGTCTACTGGGGCTGGATGTGGTGATGCATACATGGAATCCCAGAGTTGGGACGGTAAGGCAAGATTACTGCAAATCAAGCCCAGTCTGGAACATAATGAGACCCCATATCAAGATAAAAGATCTAGAAAAGTGCTAGAGGTATAATTCAATATGAAGGTCCTGAGCAATATATATATATATACATATATATATATATATATATATATATCTCCATCTAGATAACTCACTGTACTAAAGCGCCTACTTAGGCAGAGCGCAGTGGCCGGGGTTTGATTCCCGATGTGCCATGCCAGCCTGGCCCACGGGGCACACCGAGACTGGCGATTGAGACTGGGTGTGGTGGCGCACACCTATAATCCCAGCATTTGGGAGGCTGAAAATAGGAGGATCACTACAAGTCTGATCTATGTAGCAAGACCCTATAGACCCTGTACCAAATACACAAAAAAAGAAAAAAATATCATCATACATGTATCACACATAGTATGATTATAGTATAGCATGCCATATACACATATTTGGACATGTAGATGTACAAATACATACTATATATAACCATATGCAGTATGATTATAATGTAACAATACATGACATGCATGACAACTGTATACCACAACATTCAGTTATGAATATCACATTCAATTATAAATGATAGGGCTGGTGAGAAGGCTCAGTGGTCTAAAACACCTACTTAGAACTAAGCCTTAGCTAAAGCCCAGGGACCGCGGTTCAATCCCCCAGCACCACATGCCAGCCAGCCCCGCCCCCTGGTGGGCTGAGCTGGCGCCCCACACCACACACACAAATAAACAAATAAAATCTTAAAAAAAAATTATAAATGATAAATGTTGATTTGTGCAAAAATTACAGTGTAACGGTATGGAGAAAACAAGTGACGAGACAGAGAAAGCAATGGTATAAAAAACTTAATTCTTGGGGCCGGGGAGATGGCTCAGTGGAATAAGCGCTTCCCTGGCAAGCGCAAGGGCCTGAGTTCAAGCCCCGGTTCCACAAAAAGAAAAAAAAAAAAAACTTAATTCTTACTCTGCAATAACAGGTAGACAATAGAGAACATTTAACACCAAAGGCGCACAAGTTAGAGGCTTTGCTGTGTTACTCAGCACTGTGGGGATAAATATATGCCAAGAGACAGGTAAGCACTGCAAAGTCGTTCAGGAAACAACTGAAACTGTTCTTTTTGATAAATGTATAAGTTGGGTATAAATTTTTTAGTATTTTGTGGGGTTGGATTTTGTTTTGTTTTGTTTTGTTTTGAGGCAGGTCTTGCTATATAGTGCTGATGGGCCTTGAGCTCATTGTGTAGCCCAGAACGGCCTCAAACTCATGGCAGTCCTCCTGCCTCAGCCGCCCAAGTGTTGGGATTACAGGCAAGCATCACCAGCCCTGGCTAGAAATTGAGTATGATTTGAAGCCTCAAATGATGTTCATATTTTGATCAACTAAAGTCTAACTTTCTTTAATGAGGAGGGAAGGATGTTCCAAATAGAGAAAGTAGGACATGAGAAAGCAGAGGGCAGTGAGAAAACTGTTACTGCGCCGGACGGCAAAAGGCAGCATCTTTCCCTCCCCAGTCACCTTGCAGCTTCCAGTTTCCTCCTCTGCAGACTTGACTAATAATAGCACTTACTTCACAGCATTTTGTAAGAATTCAACCACAATGGAAACAGACAAACATTGCGACACATGTCACATTGTACAAAGGTAAGGGTGCAGACAAGCTGTCCCCAGGGTGGTGTCCTTGACCTGGTACTTGGGAGTCCTGAGGGTTGAGGACCTCAGCCCAGAAAAGCCATCCCACTGGCTAGTATCACAGTCCCCAGAATAGCGGGTATCACCACTCGAAACTTGACTAACCCGCATAGTGGGTATCACCACTCGAAACTTGACCTTCCCAAATCTGAGAGCCAAGCTCTCAGAGGGACTGGGACCTGCGACACCAGCACTGGCCACTCGGCTGGCGGTGGAGGGCATATGCAGAGGAAAGGAAGGTGGCACAATGGGGGGCTATGCTGGGGTGTAGGGGAGAACAAAGCCTGGAACCAGCTTCCCAGATTCCAAGGGCCCCTCCTCTGCTTCCAAGGTCTAGCACTTCTGATTCTGCCCAGCTGTTGCTTCAGACACCACCACGAAGCTTGGCAAAATACCAGTCCCCACTCTTCATGCCAGTGCTCCTGTGTGCTGGCTGCAGCCAGGTGCTACCAGGAATGCTTTGCACATACGAGTTCAATGTCCTGCCTCTACGAAACTCATGCTACATCATCCCCATTCTACAGTCCAGGTGGCTGGGAGGTTCCACAACCCTCTCAGTGTCACACCTTGGAAGCGATAAGAGCCAGGACACTAAGTCAGGCACTTTGCCTCCAGGGTTTATCCCAGTGTCACACATGCCACTCCCTCCCAGACCACATACTCCCGAGCCACTAGCAACTGAACTACAATATGTTGAAGGTGGTGGTTTCTGAGGCCACGCTGCCAGTCATATGGCTCCCAAGGTTACATGTGGGTATGTGTGTGACTCCAGAGGAAGAGAAAGGGACAACTATCTGCCAGGCGGGCTGAGCCAGAGAGAGAGCTAAGAAAGCCCATGTGGGCTTGCATGGGTTTGCACATGGCCCACCATCCATCATGATGCACCCCAGGGCCCCTCGGCCCCACTCTAGGCAGAGTCCGGCATGGAGCATATGACAGCGCTGTGTTACCTGTGACGATGCAGGTGAACCTGACGTCGCTGTCCTCGGACACAGCCCGGGACTTGAGCGTGGTCTCGAATAGTGGCTGTGTTTCCTCTGTGAGCTGCGCAATGATGGAGCAGAAGGTGCTCCTAGAAAAGGCAAAGAGCTGTTCAGAGCGGCCCTCACCCACATCCTATGCTACCCAGGTCTTACCATGTCTGCCTTCCCCTGGGCAAGTCTTCCTTCAGGGAGCCCAGGCTGGGAATGGAATCTTGACCCAGACCCATTACAATAGGCCGCTGACCTAGGCCAGGCACCTGAGCATGCCGGACAGCCTGCCCAAGCCACCAGTCTGTCCACATGGGCGGGGCTTCACCCTCCACCTCCAGCTCCAGGAAAGCTGTGCTTGGGGAACACACATGGGTAGACAGAGCCTCCACTCATGCTGAAGAGAGAAAAGCCAGCCAACTTCCAAGGGCCCAAGCTTGGGCTTGGAAGCAAAGCTCCTGCACTGCCTTGAACACCAGTGGATCCCAGTGGTCTAGAATCAAAAAGGCACCTGCCTAGGCAAGTGCAGGGACCAGGATTTGATCCCCAGTACAGCATGCTACACTAGCCCCACCCCTGGCAGCACTAAGCCGGCCACTGAGACCAGGCATGGTGGTGCAAGCCTGTAATCCCAGCACTGGGAAGGCTGAAAACAGGAAGATCACTACCAGTCCAAGCTGCGTAGTGAGACCCTGTACCAAATACATAAAAACAAAAAAAGAATCAAAAGATATCTCTCATTCAAAAGGGAATCAGAAAAGAGATGAAAGCCAGAGGTCATAGTATACAGCTATAATCCTGGCTACTCCCAAGGCAAGAGGAGCATAAGTTCTAGGCCAGCCTGGGCCACTTAGTGAGACACTGTCTCAAAGTTAAAGAGCTGAGGATCTAGCTCAGGGTAGAGCACTTGTCTAGCATGTGCCAGGCCCCTGAGTGGAATCCCCAGTCCAAAATAAAAGAAAAGCCTCAAATGAATTCTGATCCAAGCAGGGCTACAAACCAGCACCAGCTATGGCTCCTGTCCCATCCTGGCTGCCACATGCTGAAGGGACAACTGATCTGGGAGCTCCAGGACCAACTGGCAGGACTACCAAGCCATGGACCCACTCCCACAAAAGCCAGGATTCTCAGTTGTGACAGTTCCCCAACTTCTGGGCAGCTTCCTGAGCCCAGCAGACTCACCCACAATGCTCAGGGTTTACAGTCCATTCCTTCTGGGCACAGGATGTAATGGCTCTGCCAGCCCTGGCCCAGGCCAGTAGAGCCACCGTGCACTCAGGCGTGAAGCACAACCACAGAGCCAGGTTGCGGGGTGCACAAGCCGTGCCCAGCCCCCTCCCCTTGGTGAGCAGCGGGGGGACCATGGATGGAGGGGTGAACTGAGCAGGAAGAACAGTGAAAATGCCAAGTCACCCCAACGTGCCTTCTCAGCCTCAGGAAGGAGCAGTCCCCAAAGGATGACATTTACCTATCCGTGACTCCACCACAAGCAGAGTTTGTGGGAGCACAAGCAACAGCAGGGACAGCCCCACACACTGCACATTCAGGGGTCTGTCCTAGGAACAGGACTCTGGGCTAGGGCTGGAGTGTTGGAAGCCACTAAAAGTGGAAATTGATCATATGTAGGAGGGCAGGATGAGGTCTCATTGCCTAAAGCAGTCAAGCCACCTCAGTCTTGAGAAAAACATCCTGCCTGGACATTGTGGGCTATTAGTCCCTAGTCAACCTTGTGTCTTGCAACTTTGCAAAGGTATAAATAAATGCCCCTATGGTTGTTTGGCGGTTCTTTGCCTATCAGGCATGGTCCACCACCTGACCTCAGATATTATCGCTTGTCTTTATTATCTAAATCCTTTTGCTGTTTTCTCCCAGGGACCACGAAGGAACCAGCAGGACCCTACACTGAAGGAAAGGGCTGGATTCCCCAGGAAGAGCACCTGGAATCAAGCATGGCTCTGGACAGATGGGGGTCAAACCTGGAACCACAGCTTCTCCAGTGGGATGAGGGTGTCTGGGCATTCAGGGAGCTGGCAGGAGCATCCCAGAAAGTCCACCCAGAATGGGGGCCCCAGCCTCTCGCCTATTGTACCTGAGCTGTGTCCGCAGTGAGATGCTGTACCTCCCACCCACGAGTCACCTGCCCTGAAAGCATCTCCTCCTTCCCTAGGAGCCATGTACAGCACGGCATCCCTGGGATCTGGGCAGTCAACACCCTCAGGAAGTGGAGCATCTAGACATGTCCTTCCTGCTGTCCACTGACATCTCTGACTGTGGGGTGCCAAATCGCAGCTAGCACTTTCTAGAAACTGTTAGTCCAAAGGTAATCCAGCTTCCATGATTTTGTAACTAATTCATAACATAAACTTCTCCCTATGTAATTTGAATCCTACTTCATCCATAAATATGAACCTGGATCCAATTCTCACTTTAGGGTCTTAGTTAGGCAGCTGCTTGGGCAAGACCAAGAAAATCATTGCAAGATGGGTAACTTGTGCCCATAATCCCAGCACCTGGGAGGCTGAGGCAAGAGCATCACAAGTTCATGTCCCACCCAGGAAATGTAGGGAGACACTGAGTCCAAAGGGGGGGCTAGAGAGGTACTCAGTGGTAGAGTTCCGAAGGGCTTAATCCCCAATGCCATTAAAAAAGGAAAAAAAAAAAAATAGAGAGAAAGAAGAAGAGGGAAATGGAGAAGGAGGAGATGGAGGAGGAGGAGGAAGAGAAGAAAAAGAAAAAAGAAGATGGGCTTGGTGGTGCACGCCTGTAATCCCGGCACTGAGAAGGCTGAGGCAGCCAGCCTGGGATACACAAGCCCCAGTCTCAAAAAACCCAAATAATATAAAATAAAATAAAGAGAAACTCATTTCAGAAGCAAGGCACAATGGCACATGCCTATAATCCCAGCTATTTGGTAGGCTAAGTCTAAACAATGACAAATTTGAGGGCATCCTGGGCAGTTTAGCAAAATCCTGTCTCAAAATTTTAAAAGAGCGCTGACCACATAGCTCAGTGGACGAAAGCACCTATGCAACGAACAGGGTTCGATCCCCGGCATGCCTGTGCAGGCCCACTCCCAGGGCTCACTGAGACGGTGATTGAGACTGGGTGTGGCACATGCCTGTAATCCCAGGGTTTGGGAGGCTGAAAACAAGAGGATCACTAAAAGTCCAATCTGTGTAATGAGACCCTGTACTAAACACATTTTTTAAAAAAAAAATTTAAAAAGAGGGCCAGCGAGATAGCTCAGCAGACTAAGTGCCTGCTTAGGCAAGCTCAGGGACCAGGGTTTAATCCCTGGCACAACGTGTGCTGTCACAGCCCCACCCCCACCCCGGGTGCGCTGAGCTGTCCACCAAAACTGGGTGTGGTGGTGCATGCCTATAATCCCAGCACTGGGGAGGCTGAAAACAGGAGGATCACTACGAGTCCGATCTAGTAGTGAGACCCTGAACATCCTGCATACACTTCCCTAAAAATACAAAATAAATAAATAAAATAGTTAAGGATTAGAGGTAGAACTCAGTGGTTAAGCACTTGCCTAACGTGTGAAAGCAGGCATTCAAGACCCAGTACCATGTTAAAAAAAGAAAAAAATATATTTTAAAATATCATTTCAACTACTAGATAAGTGAGAAAACAAAAAAATTACTTCAAAACCTTGCGGAGAGGAGTTCTCCTGTTTGATATACAACTGGTAGTTACTTTTTTCTCTCTCCTTTTTCTGTTTTTTATTTGTTTATTTGTTTAGTTATTTGTTTGGTTAGTTGTTTTTTTTTTTGGTTGTTTTTTTTTTTGAGACAGAGTCTCACTATATAGCCCTGGCTGGCCTCATATTCCCAGCAATCCTCCTGCCTCAGCCTCTTTTTGAATGGAAAAGAACACTTATCTTCTAAAACCAAAGATTTTGTGTGTGGTCCTACACTGTTCAGTAAACAATATTTAGGCTAGGAAATCACAGGTACAATAATGGGGCTAGAGGAAGAAAGACCCTCTTTCTGGGGAAGCAGCTTGGGAGGTATTAGGGGGGCGGCGAGTGTCACAGCTGTGCACACTACTGTCTCACAGGAGTCACTCTTCTCATCCTACAGCCCTCAGTCCTTTCTTCCAAATCATCCAGATGTGGATGTGCTCGCCTAGTTCCCTAGAAAGCCAGGGGGGGCCACACACATCTGGAAATGGTCTCCAGTTTGAAACAGTGGGGATGAATCCTCTTCCACCTGGTGGCCACCCAGGACCAAGTTTTCTCCTTCTTCGTCCTCTGCGAGGACATGGGGGAGGGGGGGTTGATCCGGCCTGTGGAGGTGATAAGCTATCAGAAGCTGTTAGCCTCCCCAAATCTACCGGGGGCTGGTATGGGGCCCCAGTGGTGGGCAGTGCCCAGGAAATGCCCCCACTTGCACAGTAAGGGATAGAGCCTTGCTCCAAGCCCTGGAGGCAGGAGGAGTCTCCCGCCCCGGAAACCTTGGCCTTGGCTTGCTCAGCGGGTCAAGGATTCACTAACATGAAGGCCACAGGTGTGGTATTGGCTGGTCTTAAAACTCCAAAGTCTACCAGCAGAGACAGGAGTGAAAGGAAAGGAGCCTCAGAGAAGGAAGAGGGAGGAGAACGTGGGGCCAGGGGGACACAACGTGACAAGCAGAGGCCATGGTGAGTGGAAGATAGCTCACTACGGGCTCAGACCTAGATAAGCGGTCACAAAATCATGAAAACTTAGGACAGGAAGAGATGGGTCATGAGACTGGTGGCTCCCTGTTTTGTCCCTGTGACGCCCATCCAAGCACACAAAGATGTCATCACAGCAGTCTCAGGGACCCCTGCTCACATGTCCCTTCCTGAGTCCCCTGTACCCCTTCCTGGCAGGCCATGCAAGTGTCACCCTGGTCCCTGCAGACCCATGCTTACGTGAGTACCCCCGCCTCCCCTCACCCCATGCAGCCGGTTAGTGTGACAGCTGTCACTGAGAGGCCCCTCAGGGCCCAGGCCCACGAGAAAAGCAGTCCGAGAAAAAGAATGGAATGCAGTGCGTTTACCTTCCAGAGCTGGGGTGAGACAACCGGCTGCTTGGTAAGCTAAGCAAGAGACAGCAAATGGAACCATTAGGCCAAAAAGCAAGAAGACTAGGGGGCGAAGTCAACAACAGTCGAGAAGGATTAATCTGCCATCATCTGGGGCCCAGAAGCCTTTCTATTAAAAGGGACCAGCTGTCTCAGCTGGCCTGCTCCAGAGAGCAAGCGGCCTCCCCATCAGACACCGATATCTCTGAAACCAAAAGCTGGTTAAAAGCAGCAGAGTCCAGGAAAAGGGTTAGGCAGGAAGGAGGCCCGGGCTGTGCTTTGAGAGCGGGGCTCCTCAGGCCCGTGCATCTGCCCCCTCGAGGGCAAGCCGGCCGGGCAGCTCCAGCCCAGCTCCAACTCCCAGCCTGTTGGGAGGCAGGGAGCCACATTCCTGGACATCCCCTGACAGGTGTGGGAAAACACCCACCATTAGTGGGTTAAAGTACAGTTAACGAGCAAGGCAGACCAGCCAGGAGAGGAGAAGAGGAAGGAAGACAGAGCAGTTAATCCAGCAGGATCCAGGAGGTGCTCAGCTCCTGAGGCCAGCTCCAGACCTGCCATCTTGGGCTCCTCCACGTCAAAGCCAGGGCCTTTCTCCCTTTCTCTCTAGTGCTGCTGCCATCCTGGGTTAAAGCCTCGTGGCTCCACCTTTGTTGAGTAAGGCCTTGCTCCTTTGTTCCCTTCTCGCACCATTCCTCTGTACAGGAGGCAGAGGTCTTCCCCTGGCTATTACACTGGGACACCCCACTCCTTGACTCAGCACTCAAGGCCTCCCTGATCTGCTCACAGCCCCTCTACAACTGGAGTTCTCTCTCCTTCCCAACACTTGGCTTCTGCTGCAGCCAGACCTTCTCCTGACTGGCGTGAACACATCCACATCCATCCATGGCCTTCATTTTTGTCCTGCTTAGAAAATCTCCCCTCCTTTCTACCCACCCAGCCTTCGAATCTGGCTCCTAGCTAAGTTCCAGGCATGTGAGGGCACCGGGACAGCTGTTCTCTGAAACAAGGGAAGTGGGGGAAGGGGAGGGGAGGAAGTGAAAACACATTTGTCACCCAGGAGGGGCCCTGCCCCCAAGAGAGAACTGCTGCTCCAGAGACAATGGGAGAAGAGGGAGCTGTGTGGGCAGCACCTCCCTTGGTTCCAAAGCCCAGGTTGACCCCATCCTCTCCTGACCAAAAGCTTCCTCAGAACCGTGAGATTTCTCCTCTGAGTTTGGGTTTTGTCCCTGGGAAGGAGGAGGAAGTCAGCTTTCCTATTAGAGAGGCCTGCAGTGAGGACCTAGGCCAGCTAGCCAGCCCCAGCTTCATCAGGTTGCCTCTCAGCCTGCCCCGTCGGGCCACAGGGGCAGGGTGAGTCCCAGCCCAGAGAGATGCCATTCTTCAGAGGGTGCAAGGCTGCCCAGTGCGCACTTAATGGCCTCTCAGGACTCAGAGTCAGCATCAAATCGTGGGACAGAAAGCCTCTGAGTTCTTCAGGGGGCAGGAAGCCACTAGGTGGGGAGCACCTGCCCAGCAAGTGCAAGGCCCTGGGTTCCACCCCCAGCACTGCAAAAGAGAAATAAATAAAATAAAATAAAATAAAGCTGCAATGTGGCTAGTAAGGTCCAAGTATCACAGGCTGGAAAAAAAACTTTAAAAAAGAAATTTTCATTCCATAGAGGAACAAAAGGCTTAGAAGCAAATAACCAGGTCATCAAAGACCCTAAGGAAGTCCTGCCTGGGACTGAGGTCATAGTCACGCAGACGCCAGCCCAGCAGCTACCATAAAATGGCCCCCTCTCCTTGTTCATGGACCAGTCGAACCTCTCCTCAGAGAGCACCCAACCTGCTCCTCAAACCAGCCTCCTTGCCTAGTTTTTTACTCTTCTTTGTTAAAGACCAGCCTCATCTCTGTCATCTCCCCAAGCTACTTTCTTTACTGCCAAGCTAAAACTTTTTCCTGTTTAAAAGAAGAAAACGAAAAAAAAAAGTCCTGGTCCAGTGCCTCAGTTTCCCTAAAAGCCCCGGGATACTTGCTTGACCCAAACAGAAAAACAAAGGGTATTTCAAAGCAATGTGAAGCAACACCAGAGTTTAGCAGCTCCCCACACCCCTCCTGGACTAGGGCCACCATGAAATGAGTGTATTCCACAAAAGCCAGGTCATCATAAGGATTTTCCGTTAGCTACAGCTCCTTACCTTCCTCCAGCCTCCCTGAAACCCAAATCCCATAGGGGTGAGGCTTGCCTCAGACCTCAGTGAGCACTGAGATACGCTTGCCCTGACGTGGGAATGGAGAGCGCGCCAAAGGATGTCACGGGCAGCGGAGATGAGGCACATGTGGGGAAGCAGAGTGCGGACCCAGAACCGAGGTTTCTAGAGCCCCAGCCTCCTGCACAGCCGTCCATCAGCTCCCAGGGGCAGCCTCTTGGCACAAGAGACCATTCAAACAGTGACTCAAGACAGGCTGGGCGTGGTGGCACATGCCTGTGATTGCAGCACTCTGATAGGTTGACACAGGAGGATTTCAAGTTCAAACCCAGCTTGGGCAATTTGATGATTTAGTGAGATCCTGTCTTAAAATAGAAAATGAAAAGAGGCTCAGAATGCAGCTCAGTATGAAGGCCCTGGGTTCAACCCCCAATATAAGTGAACAAAAAAAAGTAGGCTTAGAAAACACTGAAGCCAAAAGTGAGTGGGGACAGAACTTGCCTTTAGTCGGGACTCCAGGGAAGCCCAGGCTCAGCTCTTTCTCCCTGTCTAGGCCCCCTCCCCATTTCTGGGGGGGACCACAGACTGTGCACTTGCCTCCTTCAGCACAGGTCAGACTGTGCAGGGCCCTGGGGACCGACACTTGCCTCCTCCCCAAAGCAGCCCCTTCAGTCTCCCCCGTGACCAAAGGCTCTGGGGAACAAACAAGTCTAGCTCTTTGTCCTTCAGAAGGTGTGTGTCAGGGGAGGTCTGCGGGCAGCTAGCTAGAAGTGAAATCCTGCAGGGACAAAGCACACTCTTGCTGTGCTCCCCCACTCCCAATACCGGGAGGAAAGAGGCACCTTTTCAGAGCACCAATAGGCAGCACCAGGGGGACTCGGGCCAGATGCGTCTCCCACCTGCAGCCCTCCGTGGCCACACTGCTCTGCACACACCCAGGTCCCATGAGAACACCCATCATGCCACGGGCGTCTCCTCCCAGCCCACAGCCCCCACCCCATTCTGCCCGTCTCAACCCCCTTCTTCCCTCCCCTCCGTCACTGCTGTCTGTGGGCTGCAAAGGACCCTGCTTCCTTTTCCTCTCCCTTCACCCTGGTATTGACAAAGGCCAGACATGGGTGGCCAAACCCAGTTAAGCACTGTGACACTCAGAAGGCACCCACAGGCCTGAGCTTCTCAGGGGACAGGAATAATGACCACCTTGGGGCTGCTGTCTCCAGAGCCCGGGCCTGGTAAAGGGGCATTCTTTCCTGGCACTGGGGCCTGGTGCAGCCTGACTCGGGCACTAACCCCAGCCCTCAACCCTGCTCCAGACATGTGACATCATTTGACGAGTTTTATGCCGAAACAGGTTCCGGTTACATTTGAACCTTTCCAACTCCAAGGTCAACAGGACTCAGCCAACTCACGAGGAAGTGCCCAGCGCTTTTCCTGATCGTCCTTGCTGCCTGCTTTTGTGCTTCTTCATGAGTGGAGAGCAAGGGGGCTCTCCATAGGCTGGCAGGAGCAACCCCTTCAGCATAATACCCAGCAAGTCAGAGGCTGGGCCAGATACACACTGCCAGTCCCCAGTGGACAAATGTCACATTTCCCTTTGGAAGACAGGCAGAGCAGGCAGGTGTCTCGGTGGCAAGGTGTGTGGCTCAGATCTGGGCACCTGTGGCTGTCTATTGCCTGTGTGACCTTTGGTCTGTGGGAGGCTTCCACTCCTCTGCCACTCTTAGAAGAGCAGTGAAGGGGCCCCAGGTCCTTCCCTCCCTGCACACCTCAGCCCCAGCCCCCAACACCAGGGGACGGGTTTTGCCTCACTGAGCTTCATGCCCTCAGTCCCCTGCTGCCCCTCACCCCATCACTCTCCCCAGATCCAAGTCTGGGCCAGGAGAACCCTTATTTGAGACACAGGTTGACCAGTGCTGGTGACTGCTCCACCCTGAGCGAGGTGGCCCCACCCGGACAGTCAGGCCCCAGTCTTGTCCTTGCGCCCTCCCTCCAGTCCCAGGAATTCAGCTGCCCCCGCAGTGTTTATCTCTTGCTGTGGAATCCACATCCAGTGGCACAGAGTAGGAGATAAGGCGAGCCTGGGGCCCCTGGGACATTGCCCCAAATAGGGCCCAGCTCCTCTCTGGGGAGTTGTGGGGCCTCAGGCCTGAGACCCTGAGGCCTTGAGGGGCCAGGAGGCCCCCACAGGAAACTTTGGGGCCCAGTCCTGGCCCAGTTCTCAGGCCTGTGGGCAGAATTGGGGAAGGGTCCCTGTCCTGCTCCGTCTCTTGCCACCCCGTCCCTGGGCAACACCACTCACCTGGTTTCGGGCCGCACGCTGAGCAGGTAGCTGCGGCTGGCTGGGCTGGGGGTCCACACAGGCCCATCATCCTCACTGTCGCCCCCCGCCCGTCCACCTACGCCCCACCCAAGGACCCTGCGCGACCCCATGGTGTTGCCTGCCTGCCTTGCCTGCCCGGCTGCCTCCCCAGCCTGACTGGCTGCCCCTATTTATAGCCGGGCGTCACCTGCTGCTGTCCCTCCCTCCTCCCTCTTCCCGCCACCCCTCGGCCACCACCAAGACTACAGCTATGTCCAAGCCATGCTGGTGTTGGGAACAGCCCCAGGGACATACAAGGGGTGATCAAAAAAGACAGTGAATATTTATTTTTTTAATCTTTTTTATTTATTTGATACAGGGTCTCACTATGCAGCTCAGACTCGTAGTGATCCTCCTGTCTCAGCCTCCCCAGCACTGGGATTACAAGTGTGCACACCATGTTTGGTTTCAGTGGCCAGCTCAGCATGCCAGGGTTCCTGGGCCAGCATGGCATGTGCTACCTGGGATCGAACCCGGGTCCTTGTGCTTGCAAGGCAGATGCTTAGACCACCGAGTTATCTCCCCAGCCCCAGTGAATGTTTTGTTTTGTTGACAGAACCAGGGATTGAATTCAGGCCCCTGTGCTTGCCAGGCAAGTGCTTATTCCATTGAGCCATCTCCCTGGCCCCCAGTGAATGTTTATTTAAAAAAATATATAAAAACTTAGTAAGAGACATGTGGCCAAGAACAATGGAACAGGTGTGCCAGAAGTGAAGCACAGGATTTGGGGCTTTGGGAGGGATAGGAAAAGCAAAGAAGGTGCAAACCCTACTGTCCTCCAAGGGAACTACAGTGCCCCTTCAGGAAATATCACCCCTCCATGCGTCCTAACAGCACTTGCCTTGCTCCTACTCCATCCCACTGTGACTGCAGCCGGCTGGCATCTGGTCCCCCACACGCCCCATGGCACCAAGGGAAGTTCTTACCAGAATACTTCAGGAGTGGAGCAGGGCAAAGAAGCAGCCCCTCCTGTGTGTTTCCTGCCATGAGGAAGGACTGTGCCCCCCTTAATGTGGCCTCATTGCTAGGATCCCTTTGACCCCAGCCCCCCTGCATGTGGCAGTCTCAACTTTCCTCAGAATCTGTGTGCCAGGAAATCCTCCTGCATACTTTGGATCCCAGCATTCAAGGGGAGGGAGGCTGAGGCAGGAGGATCACCAAGAACCAGAGGCCAGCCTGGGCTACAAAGTGAGTTTAAGGCCAGCCTGCACTACACAGTGAGACCCTGTCTCAAAAACAAAACAAAACAAGCTGGGCCTGGTGGCATATGTCTGTAATCCCAGCACTTGACTGGCTGAGACAGGAGGATCATTGTGAATTCAAGACCAGCCTGGGCTACAAAGTGAGCTCAAATCCAGCGTGGACTACATAGCAGGACCCTGTCTCAAGAAGACAAAAGCAAAACAAAACAAAATAAAAGCTTACTCTGGATTGCAGTTTAATTTCATCTTTTCTCTCATATCCCCTTTCTTCTTGTAGGTCTTTTTGAATTCTGTCCCTATCATCCCGTGATAGCCCTAACCCATCCTTACCAGCTTCTTGCTTTTTGTTTTGTTTTTTCAGTTGCTAGAGATTAAACCTTAGGACTTCACAGTGAGCTACACGTCCCTCTTCCCCTACCTTTTAACATTTTGAGCCAGGATTTCTCTAAATTGCCTAAATTGGGCTCCAACTTGTGATCTTCCTGCCTCAGCTTCCCAGAGTTCTGGGATTACAGGTATTCACACCACTGCCCAGCTCTTCAATCCAACTTTCTTTGTCTTCAGTCAAGTTCCTGAGGAAGGGGCAAAACTGTACAAGGAGTGTCAAGGCACCCAGGGATGGAAAGGTGGATAATGTTTTTCCTCTCTGAGCTTACAGTCTAGCAAGAAAAAGCAGGATACGTAAAGTGGTGTCATCTATCCAGAACCAGGTTAAGAGCCTAACAATTGCTATTCAATGCAAGAGCAGGTGAACTTCGGGGGAATGTCATAGTCCCAGGATCCTCCTGCCTTGGTCTCAGGATTGCACACTTCCTGGGGGGCCCAAAGGAAATTGGATGTGTGTAGTAGATAGACTTCCGTTAGCGTACTCGGCATAACAGGGCATGCTCCAACCAGGCCAACCACAGTGGAGGCCCCAGGACACTGGCTCTGTCACCTCAGCCCCCTACCACAATGTCTGGGTGATTGTGACCACACCTTGTGACAGTGTCATCTCTCTCCTTTAGGGGCCTCCTGTGAAGTGTGGAGCATGGCCCGCTGTCCAACCCCAGTATTGACTAGTTCTCAGGAGACACCCACACCCTGGCTGTCCTCCCCTGAACTTACAAAAACAACGGCATCTCACCCTGAGTACCACTCCAGCTGCTCGATGACACAGGGGACAGCTGGCAACAAGTCCACTGGCCTTGTCCTCACAAAGACCTTCACCCTGCCTTGTTTCTAGCCACCCACCAAGTGCCCAACAAAAGGCCCTCACCTTTAAACTGCTATCCTTACTGACATCAGGCAGCTCCACATTTCATCCCCTGCCCTCTCTGTCCCCGCTCTCATCCCTCCCTGGCCTCTCTGGTTCACCCCACCTGCTCCATAGACACGGGGCTAGTGTGAGTGGACAGTCGCTTCAACTGTACACAGTGTGGTGACAAAATATGGTGACATTCCCTCCACAATGTGTGGGAGCAAGACACTGTGGGCCCCCCTCCAAGTAGGACCCTCCCTTTGCCCACATCTGCCTGGGGCCACTGGGCAGGAACAGCTGTGCCACCCACAGGCACTTTTCAGGACAAAGGGAAGCATAGCTCTGGTCATCTCCACTCTGGCCAGCACTCTCCAGGTCTTGTGCTTTTGGGCATTGAAGCAGACTTACGCTGGGGTGGCTTTCCTACAAGCTGGGGCCCAGGCCTGGGTTCAAAGGTCAGTGAGGATTTCCTTATGCAGCAGCATCGGCTCCCTCCCTCCCTCCACAGGCCTCAGAGCTCTGCAGACCTGTGACAGCTCAGAGGGACACAAAGGCCTCCAAGTGCCAGATACCCCTCCAGCTCCCTCCCTGGCCCAGGGCCTTCACACTGAGCTACATCCCCAGCCCTTTTTGAGAGAGAAATGCATTGAGTCTCTAGGTTGCCCAGGATGGCCTTGAACTTGTGACTTTTCCTGCCTCAGTCTCTCAGAGTACTGAGATTACAGGCATACACCACTATACCCAGGTTATTTTCTTTCTCTTGATTCCATTCCTTTCTTCATGGGTGTGCATATGCACACGTGTCTGTCTGTGAGAGTGCTGTTTTTCTGAAAGACTCAACTATGTAGTACAAGCTGGCCTTGAATTCACTTTGTAGGCCAGGCTGGCCTTGAGGTCAAGTTGGTCCTCTAGCCTCAGCCTCCTGAGTGCTGGGATTATGGGGCGTGTGCCTCCAGGCCTGGCTTCCACTCTTCTAAAGTAAGGTGTTGGTTTTGAGCTGAACAAAGCCCTAGTCTCAGCCAGTGCTGCTCACATGTGGGAAGCTACTGCCTTGTGTCACCAGCCTATAGCACTCTTGATGCCTGTCTGACCTCCCCACAAGAGCTGCCCAGCTCTGGCTCAGACAGCTGAGCCCCTTTCTAAGCAGGCATAGCCTTGGCCCCACGGTGGGTGAGCCACCCTGGCATGCTTGTCCAGGGACTGGAGATGTGGCCACAGCTGTGCTCGGGTAAGTGGACACCAATTAAAGGATTACTGGCAACAGGAAACCACTCCTGCCTCCAGTTTGATTGGAAGGGGAATTGGGGACTCAGGGATAACACCTACCTAGGTGTCCTCCCCAGCCCCTGCCCTGACACCACGCAAGCTGCCATAACTTTAGGCCCTTTGCAGGTAGGGGAGCGCTGCCTCAGTCAGCAGGGCAGCCTCGCCAAGCCTCTAAGGGCTCCTCCCAGCCAGGCCTCTGGGTGCAGGATGAGCCAGCATGCCCCTCCCCCACCACGGCTTTTCCTATGTGTTCTTTGTATCTCTGCTCTCCTTTGCCTTAACAGCAAAATCTTTCCATTCCAGTAAGAAGTTGACCACCACCCAGCATCAGCAGCTGTGATTTCTGTTCTCCTCAAGGGACACCACTGACAAGTCAAGCTACCTCCTCCACGGTCCTGCAAAAGCAGTTTCCAGCTTCAGCTCTGCCTAATCTAAGTCCCCTGCCTCATCCTCTGCATGTGTGTATGCGTGTGTGCAAGTGTATATACATGTGCACACATGTGCATCGTGCACATAGGCAAGCACTACCCCTGGGGCACCCCAGCCCTTCCACAGCCTCTGTCCTCTCCCTGCTACGGGCACCAGCACCACCCCCACCACCCCTGCATGTGTGCATGCACGTAGCCCCCAACTCCCAGCTTTTTTCCCCTCTTTTATATATTTATTTATTGAGTGCAGGGTCGACAGGGTTTATAGAGTCCACAGGGTCTCACTGCACAGATCATACTCCTAGTGATTGTCCTGTTTTCAGCCTCCCAAACGCTGAGATTTTAGGCAGGCACCACCATGTCCACCATCTCAATGCATCCTGGGGTCAGGGCCGGCACACCACGCCGGGGATTGAACCCTGGTCTCTGCATCTGCCTAAGCAGGCACTTTAATCCGTTAAGCTATCTGGCCATTTTCCCCCCCATTTTAAAGTCATTTCCCAACCCCACCACAGAGCCAGTCTAGGAAAGAAATGTGAGGCTTCTTCCAAAAGCAAAGAGCTTCCTAGAACGTTCCCAAACATCCAGTCCTATCTATGTACAAGGCAGAGAGAAAACTCTGAGGAAACGGGTCTAAGGGGTAGAAAACTCCAGATGAAAGTGGGAGTTGCATGCACTCGCCACTGGCTGTACCTGAAAGGGGCTCTAGAAACAAGGTTTCCTAGTGTGTAAAAAGGAAATTGAATTTTGGTTTGGATTGGGTTGGTCTGGTTTTGCCATACAGGAGAGTGAACTCAGGGGCTTAGCCCTGAGCTACATGCCCCAATCACACTTTTTAATTTTTCTTAGACAGAGCCTAAGATAACAATTTGCCTGGGCTGGATTTGAATCTGGCAATTCTCCTGCCTTGCCTCCCACATACGGAGATTACTGGGGTGAGCACCTACACAGCAGTTTAACCACTCTCTTTGCCCATCAAAAGCACAGTGAGCTTTCTTCATTCTCACAGACTGTAGAGACAAAGGCAATGTGCTGCAGCTTTAGAGGGTCTGGGAAATCTAAACAACTGCTGTCCAGCCGGCACACACCCTCCCTGAAGTAAGCTGGTACCAAGGTGCGCTGTCACTGTGAGGGGCTCTTCCCCCACCACATCCTCAGAGCTCCACTTTCCATATGATCAATGAAATGGTTTTTTAGTATTTGTGCACTAAAAACAATTTCAATTTTTGCAGATGTTTTCTTTTTCTTTCTTTTTTTTTTTGTAGTCTTTTTGGCTTTCTGAGACAGTCTCACTCTACAGTTCAGGCTAGCCTTGAACTCACTATGTAGCTCAGGCTGGTCTCCAATTCTCAGTGTTCCTCCTGCCTCAGCTTCCCAATTGCTGGGATTAAAGCAGTACCACACCTGGCTTAAAAAAAAAAAAAAAAGGCCAGTGTAGGACACAATGAACTAGCTCAAGAAAACATCTGCCACAGGTAGTTCCATCTGTCACCAGGCATGGTGACCGGAGGGTTAGAATATGCAAAGGAACTGTGAATAGTTCATACTTGGAAAGGCTTGATATAGTCTGGATATGGTGGCGCACGCCTGTATTCCCAGCATTAGACAGGCTGAAAACAGGAGGATCACTACAAATCGGAGCTGTGTAGTAAGATCCTGTACTAAATACATAAAAATGAATCAATAAAATTTTTAGGGGGCCGGGGAGTTGGCTCAGTGGAATAAGTGCTTCCCTGGCAAGCACAAGGACCTGAGTTCAATCCCCGGTTCCGCCAAAAAAAAAAAAATTAGTTCAATCCCCGGTTCCGCCAAAAAAAAAAAAAAAAGATATACAAGATACACAGAAAGTGCTGGGTTTGATGGCACACATTGTTACCCCAGCACTTGGGAGGCTGAGGCAGGAGGATCACTGTGAGTTCAAGGCCAGCCTGAACTAGACTCTTGTTTCAAAACCAAAAACCAGGTCTGGCCAAATAGCTCAGCAGACTAATGTGCCTGCTTAGGCAGGTGTAGGGGCCAGGGTTCGATACCCAGCATGCCGTGCCAACCCCTGCCCCTGAGATGTGTTGAGATGGTGATTGTGTGTGGGTGTGGTGGCGCATGCCTATGATCCCAGCACTTGGGAGGCTGAAAACAGGAGGATCACTAGGAGTCCGACCTGTGTAATGAGACCCTGTACCCTGTAGTACCTGTACGAAAATACATTTTCAAAAATAAAAAACCAAAGATACACAATGACATGAATTAACATCCTCACTTAATGTGAGGCTGAGGCCAGGTGATGTTGGGAGCCACTAAAGCTAAAACTGATCACATGTGAGAAGACCGGATAACGCTTCACTGCCTAAAGCAGTCAGGCTACCTCAGTGTTAAAAAAAAAATTCCTTCCTGGACATTGTGGGCTATCTGTCACTAATCAACCTTGTGTCTTACAACTTTGTAAAAGTATAAATAAAGGTCTTACTATTGTTCAGGGGTCCTTTTGTCAAGCAGACAGATGAGTCACCACCTAACCCTGTTCTTGTCTCTTTTTTCTCATTCCTGCTGCTGATTTTCCCTTGGCACAATGGATCACAGAGAGACCAACAGATCCCAACATCTGGCACCCGAGCAGGGAGACCCCGTAGATAAGTGTGGGCAGCAAAAACACTTCCAAAGAGCACACAAAAGAGAAAAAAATGGTCAGAGCCAATATTTAACACAGGTGTGTGCTGTTACTGACACATTAGGTATAAAACTTAGAGACAGAGGCTCACTAGGGTCAAAAGCAGGTTCACTAGGCCAAAAACAGGTTTACTAGGGCCAGCAAGATAAACAAACATTAAAAAAAGGTTTTAAAAAAAGCCAAAAGAAGAAGAAAAAAAGAAAAAAGAAAAGAAAGAAAGAAAAAGTTAAGATTGAGTCAAAAATAAAAGTTTCAAAAATCATTAGACCAAGAGATCCCAACAAGGTGACTCCGTCACACAGAATGTGGACCTAGGGTTCTGACTCCCAGCTAGCTTTCCCCACTGAGACTATGCAGGATGAAATAGGAATATAGCACATCGGAGGAAATAATTCTACAAAAGTAAAAGGCCATATGCCCAGCATGCTTCATTTTACAGGTGAAGTAAATTACGTTAACTTGCCATAAGGAGGGGGACAGAGGGAGGGAGAGAGACAGAGACAGAGAGAATATTCAGGATGTGATGGCAAGCACAAACAGGAGGGTATGAAATCAGAGGCAGTGTAATGTTCATCACAGCCCATTGGGAAGCCAGCTCTTCTGCTAGCTATGTGGCCTGAGGCAACTCACTCGACCACTCTGAATTGCAATTTTATTGTCTGATAAAGAATAACCTTTTCTATCTTCTAGGACTGTTCTGAGGCCAAGTGATTATGTCTGCTGCTGTTTGTATTAAAAACAGACCTACAAAGATGCCCAGAAATGTTCACTGTTAACCACCCTTATTACAATGACACCACAAATTCCACTCCCCACATGCTGAACAAAGACTAGGAAGTGGGACACAAAGCTGCAAACTGCAGTGGGACAAGGAAAAGATGGGAAGTACATGTCCCACACCTTCTCTAACAGTGGTACGTTGTTTTCCTACTTTTAAGAAAGGAAAAGTGGGGACCTGAAAACTGCATCTGTGGGAGCTGGGTCCTAGGCTCCCTTCCTCCTCCAGCTGCCCACCTCCTGTGACCATCTGTGGTGAAAGAAGGGAGACAGCAGACCAGACCCACGCAAGTGAGCCCCACAAGGGCCCCACCTCAATCGGATGAGCCCACTGCAGCACTAGTGGCTGATTCATCCACACATGCGCACTCGCTTGCTCATCCACAAGCTGCTGTGGCTGTGGCACATGAACACAGGGCCACCAGCTCCTCAAGCATGGCACCAAGCTGGTGTATGTGTTTGGAACAATCTCCCAAGTACTACCATTAGTGGAAAAAAAGCAAGCCTCAGAACACTGTGTATAGAATGCTACTGTTTGTATTAAAAATAGATATATAAATATACATATTTTAAAAACTTATAAATGCATAGAATTGCTCTGAAGGAATACACAGGATACAGATAGCAGCGATTAACTAGACGAGGGCTTCGGAGCTTGACTCCCATTGGAAGGTTATTTTTTATTGTATGTTTTTTGTATGTTGGATGCTTTACTGTGTTTATGTATTAATTTTTCAAAAAAAAAAAAAAAGATAAAAGAACTGCTGGATGGTGGATAGACAGTGGTGGACGGGACAGAGGTTCCTTAGCCTTGGGGAAGGCAAAATGTGGGATCCACAGGGCCACAACTGTTAAGTGTTTTTTTTGGTTTTTGTTTAAACCAAACAGTTTACATAAGGGGAAAACGCTACAATAGCTAGCTCATAGTAATTTAGCACATCATTTTACAGAGATAAAGCAGTTGGAGAACAAATACTAGGCATTTGTCAAGCCCCAGAGCATACTACACGGTAGTGAGGGTCTTATCTGTAGCTTCATCAGCCGAGCTCTCTCTGGCAGTGAAGGCCTCTGCTGATGACAAATGGCGGCACCCCCATTCAGAACGCCATGAAAGAGACAAAGGCGAAAGACGCTAGACTGGGGAGTTTTCTGACAGTCCTCAAAAACAATGATCTTCAAGTGGCAAAGGAAAGCCCAAGGAGTGACCAGTCCCAGGATGGTATTGCTCCAGCAGGGGTGACATGCAGGCCCCCCTAGGGGTAAGTGGCACAAATGGTCTCCAAAGAGAACTGGGCACTTGTGGGACACCCTAAATGTTAGGAAAGTAGAAAAGTGGACTTCTGGGCAATTGATGGGCTGGCTGGCAGCCAAAGCAACTGTGGTCACTTAGATAGCAGAGGGCTCGACAAGCTCAGCATGGCACTGTTGTCCCTGGTAGCCCAACACATCTGTCCTTCACCATCTCAGCCTTTTTCTTCTCCATAAAATAGAAGATAACTGGGATCTTTGTAAGGATTAGTGTCACCAGAAAGTGTTTAGTCAATTGCTGGGCATGTGAGCAGAGCTTAAAACACATCACAATTTTAACACATAGAGAGGTGATGCTCTCTGCAGATGCTTAGCTGACAAGCAGCATCCAGGTGATGTAGCAGCAGGTGGGCTCCACCTCAAAGTCTGAAGATCAAGTACAGTATAGCCTCCCCACCTTCATAGGTTTTATAAATCAGAAAGAGGTGGCATAAGAGTGATCTCGTAAGAGCTTAGGAGGGACTGGGCAGGACCAGATAGACGTGCGAGACTGGGGTTTGTTAAGATCTGGCTATGAGCAGGCACCAGGCAATGAGCCTAGGTCCCGGGAAAAGGCTTGGCTGTCCTGCACCCCAGGAAGAGGACACATGTCTGGGCTCAAGACAGGTGGCAAGCCCGTGACTTCCCCACCTCATCTGCCTGCCCCTGGCCACCACTGTTTCTAAACAGGAAGGGCTCTAGCCACTGTATGCCCCTCTGTCCCTCCACCAGGCCTGCTCTTGTGACTGGAACTGGGGTCTGGAGCTGGTTCTGGCTCCGCTGGCAGCTGGGGGGCAATGAATGGCGGCCTTGCCAGGAAGAGCAATAAAAAATGCTAGATGCCAGAGACTCTGGAACTGAGGCAGCACCAACCTTCCCTGCTGCCATTAGCATTTCACTAACAATCTGGCACTCGATACAGGGAGGAAAAACTGTTCGGGTTTTTTTTTTTCAATTGTGAAAAGGTGAGGCATATTTATCTGACTTAATTTATAACTGCTACTCATGCCTCCCGTGAAAGATCACCTCTAAGAGGGTGGTGAGCACCATTCCGGGGGCTGCACTGGAACTGCAGGGCCAACCTCAAGGCCAAGGCAGCCCCACCTCTGTCTCCGAGTCTACTCCTGGCCCTGCCACACTGAATTCCCTGTGGCAGGGGCAAAAGCAAGGTCTCTGATGTTGCAAGGAAAGGACAGAGTGCCTCCTCTCCACCCAATCACCCGTGAAGGGTTTCCATAAGTATCAAATTCCTTTGCAGGAAAGAGCGAGACACCTCAGACAACTTGACACCCGCCCAGGGGAGACCTTCGAGGTGAATGCACTGGTACTAAGACCCTTCTCAAGTCTCTAGAAAGTAAAGAAGCAGGAAGGGCCCTCGGCGGGAACAGGGAAGAGTGGCTGACTTGGAGAGGAATACAACAGCCTGCCTGCATGGTAAGAAGAGTTTTATTGAAATATAGTCTGAGCAACATGAGTGCAGCCAACAGGAGGGCTGGGCTGCCAGGCAGAAGCCTCTCTAATGGCACAGGAGCAAGAACACACACATTCCCCCAGCTATGCGCCCAGGCCTGCTGTCAGGGACAGGAGCAGCTGCAGAGCAAAGACCCAGCACCCAAAGGGCCTTCTGAAGGGGCCTGGCTCTCCAAATCTGTCTGCTTCGCCCACACCTCCTGCTGTCCCTAGTTCCAAGCAAAGGTGTGCTCAAGTTTCCCACCCACAGAGACACCAGGAGCCAGTGTGACAGTTAGTTCTCAGGACTGTTTTGGGGGGAAAGAACCAGAAAAGACAGGAAGGAAGGTCAAGGTGACAGAGGGCCCTTGCCAAGCCAGACTAGGGAGTTGCTCTGTCACAGAGCAACTGTGTTGCACACAGCCCCCTCCCCTCCTTCGCAGGCTCTGAGAGGCCCCTCTGGCTGAAGGCAGCAATGGGGACCTCCCAGACAAGCACAGACTCAGAGTTTGGGGTGCAAGCTGAGCTGACAGCATTGGGGTGGGGCCATAAGCAGCCTGGGGTTAGAAGGACACAGACAAGAGTTGGGTACCAAGAAGCAGCACAAAGCCATAAATAACAAGCAAATTTCACAGCCAGGAGCATCCTGGACAACCCCACCCTTCCTATGGCTGGGGACATTGAACACACCGCAGCTCAGGGCACAGTGGCCACACTTCCAAGGGCACAGACTTTGCCTTCCCTGGGTCTGCCAGGCAGTGGGGAACGTTGGGGCCACACCCCGGCCACACACCCTGCCAAGCCTTGGGTCACACCTGAGGGGTCAATGCAAGGCTGTCCTGATCCTGAGAGGCCTGTGGCTGGCTCTGCACATTCTGAGCCTGGTCCTCTGCCAGGCTAAGGCCCAGCAGTCCCCTGGCCTTGGGGGGAGCTGACAAAGGCCCACCGGCACATTCTTTCAGTCCATTCTCTCTGGCCTCCATGGCCACCTCCTCCCCAAAGCCCTCCTCTGGCTCGGATGCTTCCACCTTCACCTCCACAATCTCTTCCTCTTCCTCCTCTTGCTCTCGCACTTTGTGGACAATGAAGAGGTGGCGACTGAGAGAGCTGGCAGAGGTGTAGCACAAGCCACAGAGGAGACACTGGGCTGTGGAGCTGTCTGCCTGGTGCTGAGGTATGTGGCTCTGGAACTCCAGCCCCGAGTCCGTAGCAAAGCTACATTTTGCACACTGAAAGAGGGATTTGTGCCTTTTCAGGGGAGGGACAGCTGCGCCATTGCTGGTGCCTGGAGAATCCCCTGCTCCGCTGAGGGGTCTTTTCAGATGGTTTACCTGAAAGGAGAGATGTATGAGCAGAGCCCCAGACTCAATCACCACTACCAACGGCCCGATGGAACCACTCAGCCTGGCTCACCTAGCCCTAAACAAAGCTTTGGTTTGGTTGGTTCCAGTTCTGTGGTTTTGGTTTGGTTTTTGTTTGGAGAAAGGGCCTCACTCTGTGAGCCAGACTAGCCTGGAACTTGCCATCCTCCACCAGAATGACAGGTGTGAGCCGACATGCCAGCCTCCAGCTCTTTATTCCTTAATTTCACAGATATTTGTGGCATGAATTCGAAATATATGGCAGCAGTGGGAAGGACTGACACAGAGCACACTAAGTCCCTCTTTTTATTCCCCAGCCTCTGTCCAGAGAGTACTACACTGGTGGGGCTCACTGCCTATACAAGAAAGCCTGTGTGTATACACAGGACTGTTGTCCTCCACTGAGTGGCCACATGCCACACACACTTCTTGTCACCTGCAATTTTAGTTGATAGTTCAGACACAGAGGGTGGGCTCTCCTCACCGCAGCACAGGCCCACCAAGGAGGTGAGGTCCCTGCCGCCAGCATTAGGCTGAGTTCCAGCTCTGTTACTGCCATGGTGCTGCAGCGAACACTATGAACACGCTTTACACTGAAGGCCAGTGTTCTCCAAAGGGACAAACCCCAGAAGCAGGATACTGGGCAGGGCGCATTCACTGGGGGACAGGGCAGAGAAGCATTTCTCTCAGGGACTGATGCCAACAAATCAACTGATGCTCACTACTTTGTGTGAGAAGAACAGAGAGCAGCTCTGAGTAGCTGAGTCCCAGGGGCGCCCAGCCCACAAGCAGCCCTCTACTGGCTGGCACAAGTCTGCTGTGGCAGGGAAAGCAGGCTACTCTCTGTGTTCCTGAGAAAGAGACAGCATATGTGGCAGTGATGGGTCACAGGCCAGGGGTCTGGAGAGCAGGTTCTATGATTAACTCTTCCCAGGATAAACAGGACAGGGAGGGGACTTGGCCCAGTACCACCTGACAAACTGACAAGACTGCTCTGCTCTGAGGTCAAGGCAGGATAATGTGCATAAAAGCACCCCAGGGTCCATGGAGAATGGCCCATGTAGAAGCAGGGAGCTGCACTGGTGGGGACACTGGCAGCACAAGGCTAAAGAGCTGGCTCCTGAGTCTCACCAAAGACTAGAAGACCATGCTGAGAGAAGTGGTCACTCTGGTAGCTGCACGGCCCCACCCTCTTGTGCCTCTCCAGCTGCAGGCCAACGGGCAGCTCACCTGAGGGGAATGTCTGCCCGGTGGTCTGACTTTGGACGTCTGGCTCAGATCAGGGTTCCTGATCCCGTGCATAAGGCTGATGTGGCTCTCAAGGAGGGAGGGCCGAGGGAAGCTCGGAGGGTCCTCAGTGCAGTACCTATAGGACACAGCCAAGGCCACAGGCGAGAGTCAGCTGCAGGCTCCTGTATGCACCCACCTGGACCCCACACACTTGACCTCTGGCCCTCACCATCACCTTGTTCCCTGCTCACTGCCCAGAGGTGCCAGTTTAAGAGACAAGGACATCCCACAGCAGGAGCAGTCACCAGGAGGCACTCAGTCGCACTCCCACAACCCTCTTACACCGCAAGGCCCTTCCCTGGGACAGGCTAGGGCTGGAGTGAAGCAGGCAGCATGCCAGTGCCACGGGGCCCTCACCCCCCCACACTCACCCACATGTGTAGACCTTCTTCACTGTGTCGTGGTTGTTGCGGATGTGTTTGCGCAGGGTATTGGGGGTGTGAAAGGACTGCTCACACTGCCGACATGGGTACCGCTTCAGCGTCTAGGGAAGGTCACAAAGGTCAGAACCAGTTCATTCTGGAAGGAATATTCTCAGGTGATGCCCTTAAGAGCTGCAACACCCACCTTGCACATGGCACCAGAGCCCAAGCAGAGGCTGAGTCAGCAGTCCTACACTCACTGGACGAAGGCCAGCTCACTACGCAGCTACACTTACCCGCCCATGGCTCTTCTTCATGTGGGACACATAGCTCTCTCGATCAGGAACCCACTCCTGGCACTCCTGACAGGTCCAGCCTGTGCTCCTCAGTCGGGGCCTGGCTTCAGTCCTACGATGGCCTTCCGACCTGCCCCAGCGGCCTGAGGACAGGGAGCTACCTCGGGCAGCCACACTAGCAGTGGGGGGCTCCATGGGCACTCGAGAGCCAGGGCGGCTAGAGGATGTGTCCGCTGCAGCCTGCAGGCTGGAGAGCTCATCCACATTCCGGGGAACACCATGGGTGCTCTGAGGATGGGGAGAGCGGTTACTGATGGGGCAAGGGACAAGAGGCCCAGCATCAGACCCCCGGGTCCTGCCCTGAGCACCCCACCTTGACATGCTGCATCAGTTCAGGCTTCTGCAGGAACAACAGTGGGCACTCGGGGCACTTGAAGATGCCCGCCTGCGTCTTGCTGGCATTCTGGTAAAAATGCTGCTGAATGTGCCTTTTCTTGTTGAAGACCATCTCACAGGAGCACTTATAAATGAGCCTAATGAGACAAGTCCCAGGGTGTAAGGTGACCACGGCTCTGCTGGCAGAATCACAGACCCTCCACCCCTTCTCTGCTTTCTCCAAGCCAGCACGAGGCCTAGAAAGCCCCACTGAGTGCCTGCCTGGGGTATTGTTGGCAGACTCCAAGGCCTGGCCACCAGCCTCAGCATCCCGGGTCCATCCCGATAGCCCCCAGGGCCGCAGCTCGCTGCACTCACTGGGAGGGTCTGTGGGGCTGGGTAGGGTGCTGGGTGGCGCTGTGGTCCGCAGTGCTGCTGGCAGTCTTGAAGGCCATAGAGCAGAATGCACATTTGTGGAAAACCTGGCAGTGTCGCTCCTGGATGTGGCTTTTCAGCAAGGCCAAGGTCAGATGGACAACACCACAGTGGATGCACCTGGATAAGAGAGGTGACATGTCAGACCCAGAGGAGCTGCTACTGGAAGAGAAGACAGAGGCAGGGTAGAGTCACCTTAAGGCCTGTCCCTAGTCATTTGTAAAGGCTTCCCTCCTCCACACCATATCCTGAGCATGCCTATGCAGCTTGTTACTGCATGGGCGCCAAAGATGCCTGCAGCCCAGTGCCACACCAGCAGAGAACCTTCCTCCCCTGTCCAGGGGACATCCTTCTGTATACCTGAAGCCTGGAAAGGAGAGGACTGCTCACTGGCCACGGTCTCAGGTGAGTGTGAGGCCCCCTGCAGAAGTGCAGAGAACTGCACCGGCCTCTGCTTCCCCAGGCTGGCACGAAGCAAGCAGGGACAGACATGGCGAGTCAGAGAAAGCAGTGCTCCGGGTGCAACCAGATGGAGTCACATATCTCAGAGAGCAGGAAGAAGCCCCGGAGAGCAGAACTGTCCGGGGACCCTCAGAAAATGTGGACACTGACCACATTTCAAGCATTTAAAAGCCACACATGGCTGGTACTATTCTGGATGGTGTGCCTCTGAAGTGTTGTGACACCTCTTAAGCATAAAGTGGCTGGCTTTGCACTTGCTTTGTTTTGAGATGTGATACTGGTAGGACTGCCCAGGTTGGCCTTGAACTTGTAATCCTCCTACCTCAGCTTCCCAGGTAGCTTGGATGACAGGCATGTGCCACCATACCTGGCTCAACTTTTTATTTCTTCTTTCTACCAATCCCTATCTTCTGAGTTTTGTTTGGCAGGTAATTATTTTTATAATATATGAATAAAGAACCCAGATCCTCAATAAAAAGTTACCTTGAATCATTTCTCTGAAATTGAGGTCACATGAAACTCTTCAACCTCAAAGCATCTCTACAAACTTCCTTCTCTCAATGTGATAAGCCTGTCCCTGTCCCCATCCTCAAGGTTCCCAGTGCTTCTCACCAGTTCAGCGATTCATCCAGTTGCAAACACGTACAGATCCCCTCTAAGAGGAAACACCTCCCATGTCCCTGCTCTTTACATTCCTTTAGTGCCAGCAGTTATTCCTTCCTCTATGACCTTGACAGCCAGTAGGCATTCGAAAGAAAGGCTGCCACTCTCCTGAAAGAAGGGACAAGTCAGGTGTGGTGGTGCACACCTGCCATCAGTTTGCTGTGAGTTCTAGGCCAACCTGAGCTATGCAGTGAATTCAGATCAGCCTGAACTACATAAGTAGACCCTGTCTCAAAAAGAAAAAATAAGAAGAGACAAGATTTCACATAAGTAGTCTTTGATTCCTGAATATTAACTTTGTTATATTAGCCAATTTCACAACACACATAAATCATCCCAGAATCTTACAATCCTTTTTCTTCCTTGTACAAGTGGAAGCTGGGTGGTAGGGGACTACAGGATCATCTCTGTAGTCAATTAGCAATGAGGGATAGTTCACAGAACCAGAATGCTGCTGGCAGTGAAATCTACAAGCTTTCTTTTTTTTCTTTTTCTTTCTTTCTTTTTTTTTTTTTTTTTTTTGCGGAACCGGGAATTGAACTCAGGCCCTTGTGCTTGCCAGGGGAGCACTTATTCTACTGAGCCATCTCCCCGGCCCCTACAAGCTTTCATTATTGTCTGTACATGCTGCAAATTACAAAAATTTGTCTTTCTTTTTTTTGGGGGGGGAGGGCACTGGGACTCAAAATCAGGATCTTGCAATTACCAGGCAGGCACTGTACTGCTGAGCTACATCCCTGGCCTGTAGATTATACAATTTCTGCACTAGTTACTTATTTTATTTTCTTTGCCATTAAACAAACAAGAACAAAAACAGTGAAACTTGAGGATCTGGGTTCAATTTTCAGAAAACACATAGACACAAACTGCTAATACACACAAATGCTTCCATACTACGTAAAACATCATGATGAAAAACCTTTCAGAGCTTTCAATGATATAAACAGTCTGCTGTGGCATGGGTGTCATAGGTTTCCCACCACTGCTACAAATTAGGAGAAGAAAAAAATCCACACATTTCCAAATTCATTCAAAGTGGCCCAGTACACTTGATCTATGTAAAATGGTTCTCTCTCTTTTGGGAGCAATTTGACTAAATTCTTACAGAAACAATATAAATATACTCCTCTCAAATGTCACTTTAAACCCATTTGATACGGTAAAAAATGTTTGTTGAAAAACTGCCTGCAATCCCAGTGCTGGGAGGCTGAAGCAGGAGGATTGCTCTGGAGTTCAAGGCCAGCCTGGGCTACAAAGTAAGTTCAAGGCAAGTTGCATAGTGAAACTCTGTCTCAAAAAAGAAAGAAAGGGGCTGTGGAGATGGCTCAGTGGAGTAAGTGCTTCTGTGGCAAGTGCAACGGCCTGAGTTCAATCCCTAGTTCCGCCAAAAAAAAAGAAAGAAAGAAAGAAAGAAAGAGCAGACCAGAGCAGAGCATCCACAGCAGGAACACAAGGGTGAGGGGACACATGGCTCCAAGAGCACCAGCCCCGTCAGGTGCACACAGTGAGGACAAATCCAACCTCATCACAGGACCTTTGACAGCTTTTCTTAAAAGAATGTAAACAATTATAGAATAACTGTATTTTGTGAAATATATAAAAGTTTCAGAAGAGAATACAGCCTAAGACATTTAAATCTGCTAATGGTCACAAATAAGAAAATACCATGATTAAATAAAATAAGGAGACAGACATTCTGCAAAGTGAGGCCAAGAAAAAGGACCTAGAGATGAGGGTCAGGGGTGGAGGGAGAGCTCAGGGCATCCCGAGTCCTGCATGCACCAACTCCCCACAAGGAGTGCAGAGCACCACCAAGAAACAGGAAAGATAAAAGACAGGGCTGGGGATGTAGCCTGTGACACAAATACCTTCATGACAAGGGCAAGGTCCTGAGTTAGGTTCCAGGATGGGAGGGAGGGAGGGAGAGAGAGGGGAGAAAAAGAGAAAATGAGTCAGGTGTGGTGGTGCAAATCTGTGATCCTGTAATCCCAGCACTTGGGAGGCTGAGGTAAGAGGAATGCTAGAAGTTCAAGGCCAGCCTGGGCTATCTACTGAGTTCAAGACCAGTCTAAACTACATAGTGAGACCCCATATAAAAAAAAAAAGTGGGGGAACAGCGAGATATCTCAGGAGACTAAGCACCTGCCTAGGGAAGCTCAGGGACTGGGGTTTGATCCTTGTCATAAGATGCTGCACTGGTGCACTGAGCCGGAAACAGTCCTGGGGTGGGGTGCATGCACTGGAAGGCTTGAAAACAGGAGGCTCACTAGAGTTCAAGCTGCATAGTGAAACCCTGCACAAAATGCATTTATAAAAAATAGGGGATGGGGAGATGGCTCAGTGGAATAAGCGCTTCCCTGGCAAGCACAAGGGCCTGAGTTCAATCCCCAGTTCCACCAAAAAAAAAAAGCAAAACCAGTCTAAACTTTCTTCCTTATGTCATCACTGCTACTCCCCAAATTACCAACAAAGAGCAGAGCATACAGAATTCTAAAATATATATTTTGTCTCCTTTTTTCAATTGTTTGCCATTTTTCTGTTAACTTCATATATGTATATATATATATATATATATATTCCCCCTCCCCCCCCCAACCAGGGATTGAACTCAGGCCCTTGCATTTGCCGGGGAAGCGCTTATTCCACTGAGCCATCTCCCCGGCCCCATTATATATTTTTTTTCTTCTTCCAAATTTGCATGCATATATCTGGTAACATGAATAACTAGTTGGAAGACAACACTATGCATTACAACAAATATTGTGAAATTCATATTATTTTGTTAAGTGAAATTCTGCATCAATTATTTTTGCTTTAATATTATTTTCTACACTTAAAAAATCACTAAAAACATTAAAAATCACTAAAATATATATAATGTGTATTGCTATATTTCACATAAAACGTATCCATTGCACAATGATATACATATTTAATATGTCTTTTTTTTTTACACTGTCTTCAAGAAAAAACAAAAATAATATAAAACAAGACAATATTGTATAGGGGACTCATGTCAACAATTTCTGACATTGCCAGTGAAGTGGAAGACCCAATACTATTATGGACTGCTGAACTCTTTTTAGATTATTTTGCTAAGTTAACACACCTATAATATTCAAATAACGGAACTTAACAAAAAAAGGGGATACAGATGAATGTCCATGTTGTATCTGTGTATTCAAAGTGGTTAGGATAGATATATAATTACATTCTCTTAATGAATAGAACAAATAGGGATTTGTTCTAATGGTGTTTGTAGATAGGATATCATGTCCGCATCTTGTACAGCAATTAACCACTGGGAGGAATGTATACAATGTGTTAATTATTGAAACTGTCCTACCAATTTGATTTGAAACTGTCTCATTGCTATTTGTTTATCAATAAAATTATGGGAAAAAAGGACAATATTATAAAACTCTTGTAGCATTCAGTGAAGTGGAACATATCCATCTTTTGGGAATTTAGTAAACAACATTAATGCCCCCAAAATGAGGAGTACTTACAAATGTATATATGGGACTTCTGTCTAAAATATACACAAAATACTTATAGCTCAATAACAAGATAATGATCCAATTTTTAAAACAGGAAAAATCTGAACAGATATTTCTCAAAGACACAAATGGCCAATAAGCACATGAACAGACACTCATGCTCAATACCATCAGCACCGGGAAAAATGTAAATAAATAAGATACCAATTCATACCCACAAGGACAACTACAACTACAGAATCTGACAAGAGCAAATATTAACAAGGATGCAGAGCTCTAACCCTTTATATACTGTATGAATAAAAATACAGAGCAAAACAGGCTAACAGATTCTCAAGAAACTAAATATAAAAGCTATGATTTGAACCAAGGATTCCACTCCTAGGTATATCCTCAAAAGGAAAACACAGGCCTGCACAATAACTAATGCATGTATGTTCATTTTCAGCATTATTCATAAAAGGGAGGAGGTGGAAATAGTGCAAATACCCTAAGGCCGTTTTTCCATTCTCAGGCACTGTTCCTCACAACCCGACAAAAACTAACAAATGAAGATACTAGAGCCCTCTGACTTTCAAGTCTTACAAAAAGGCTGGATAACTTTTGAAAACTAGAACATTTGAAAATATTGCAATTAGTAAATTATCAAAATAGTATTTTAAATTTAGTATGCCACCACAATAACTTTGTGAGCAAACTAAATTTATATACTTTTTAAACCAAATAGAGAGCTGGGGAGATAGCTTGGCAGTGTAAGTGCCTGCCAGGCAAGCACAAGGACCCTGGTTCTGCATGTTGTGCCAGCCCCGGAACCTCAGGCATGCTGTGCTGGCCCCAAAACCAGGTGTGGCAGTGCACTCCTATAATCCCAGTGCAGGGGAGGCTGAGAAAGGAGGATCATCATGAGTCTGAACTTGTGTAGCAAGATCCTGCATCAAATAAATAATAAAAATAAAACCAAATCGAGGACCAGGGACATAGCTCAGCAGCATAGGGCCTGCCTGGATAGTGCAAGGTCCTGAGTTTAATTCTTGGTACCAAAAGAGAAAGGGGGGTGGGGTGGGGAGGGGAGGAGATGGGGAGGGTAAGATATGGGATGGGAGGAAGGAGAGGGGGAGGGGAGAAGTGGAGGTGGGGGAGACAGACAGACAGAGCAGGTACACTGGCACACACGTACAGTCCCAAGAGAAGGCTCTCCTTGGAAGGCTGAGGCCAAGGTTCACTTGGGCCCAGGAATTCTAGGCCAAGCTGGGCAACATGGTGAGGTCCCCATCTCAAAACAATCACCCCAAAATCTTCCTCAAATTCTTTTCTTTCTTTTTGTGTATGGGGTACTGAGGGTCAAACCTAGGAGTACTCTGCCACTGAGCTACATCCTTTTTTTGAAATTTTGAGACAGGGTGCCCAAGCTGGGCTTGAACTTACAATTCTCCTGCCTCAGCCTCCTGAGTAGCTGGGATTACAGTCTGCACCACCATGCCCACCTTCAAAGGCAATTTCTTAGTATTTCATTTTTTAAAACTAATTTTCTGCCCTTTTGCTCTCTATCCTCTAAAATATAAGTCTGTCTACATACCAACCAACATCCCTGCATCACTAGACCTCTAAGACCAAAAGTCAGTCTAACGTTCCAGACTAGGGAAAGGACTAGTCATTGGGCAATGCCAGGACAAGGAGCTAGGCAGCACCCACCTGTAGCCCACCTTGCGGGCATAGTGCAGGCAATTCTCCTTGACATGGGTCTGGAAGTAGGCGGAGCGACAGAGGACGCCACACTCCGGGCAGCAGTAGGGGGACTTGTGCGCATGAATCCGCTGGTGTGCACAGAAGCTGCACTGGTTGGGCAGCAGCATCTGGCACACCTGGCATGTCTAGGAAAGAACATCAAGAAAGCAGGTCATGAGATGACACAGCCCTGCAGCTTTCCCATCCCAGCAGCCTGGTTCTCCCAGGATGAGTTTAAGAGCCTCTTCCCCCAATTTCTCTACTTTCCAGCTTTCCTAGGACAGTGGCAACACTCAGACCTGGTTCCAAGAGTCCTCACTGATGCTCAAGCAAGTAGCACGTGCCACCTCACAAGTTGCAGAGGCCTGCCTGTTCTCTCTGTGCCTCCAGGACTGCAGCTGCAGCTGTCTCATCACACAAAGAACCCAGGTGGACCAGAAGACGTCAGCAGCACCCTGCGATGGCTGTGCTGCCTGCTTAGTGAGGAGGTGGCACCTGTATGACTGCCCGAGAGGGCCACTGACCCAGAGACAGAGTAGGTGCTCAGGGGACAAACTGTCAGGGAAGACAGGGAAAAATCCTCCGCTTTAACTAAACTGTGCAGAGTGAGAGACTCCCCTGGACAAATAACCCAGGGTTTTCAACAAATTGTGACAGAAAAGGCAGGCACAGAGAGAACAGAAACTTATAGAGATAAGCTGTGATGTAGCTCAGTGTGGATCAACTGCTTAGTGTACACAGGTCCTGGGTTCCAGCCCCAGTGCCAAAAAAGGAGAAAAAGTTTGGGGGTTTTTGTTGCTGTTTTTGGCAGAACTGGGGATTGAACTCAGGCCCTTGCCCTTGCCAGGCAAGCACTTATTCAATTGAGCTATCTCCCTAGCCCAGAGAAAAAGTTTTAAGAGATATTTTCAACCAGTTGGAATGCACACCTTTTGACTGAATCTTGACTCAAACAAGTGAGGGTAAAAAGAAGACAATTAGAAGACATAAATAGTAACTTCATGATATTAGGATATTTTATAATTAAATTAAGATTTAGTAAGAAATTATTAATTTTTAGATGTGACCAGGTATGGTGGTGCATGCCTGTAGTCCCAGCACTTGCAAGACTGAGACAAGAGAACTGCCACACATTTGAGGTGAGCCTAGGCTATGTAGTGAATTCAAGTCCTGCCTGAACTGCCCAGCAAGATCCTCTCTCAAAAATTGCTAACTTTTTAATATGATGTCATGTTTTTAAAGAAAGTAAGTTTCGGAGCTCATTATAAAGCTCTAAATTAGAGTTTGGTATAAACTAAGAGCTTGTTATAGTCTAAAGGACCCAGAGTGTCCACCAAAGGCCTATGTATTAAAAGCTTGGCCCCCAGCCTGTGGCATTATGGGAAGGAGTGAAACACAGAAGATCTTTTGGTCAGGGTTTGGTGGATCCCAGCCTCTTCCTCTTGTTCCCAACCTGCTCCAACATAACACCAGACACAGGTGGCCCTTGCACTGAACCCTCCAAAACCATAAGCCGAAAGGAGCTTGTTGGTGGTATAAGGTGATTGCCTCGGATATTTGTTACAAGTTTTTTTTTTCTTTCTCTGTCTTTCTTTTTATGTATTTAGTTAGTACAAGGTCTACAGGATCTCACTACACAGAGCAGACTTGTAGTGAGCCTCCTGTTTTCAGCCTCCCAAACGCTGGGATTACAGGCACAAGCCACCACACCCTCAGCCTGCCCCAGGGGCAGGGCTGACACGGAAGGCCAGGGGTCAAACCTCCGACCCCTGTGTCTGCCTAAGCAAGTGCTTTAATCTGCTGAGCTATCTGGCCAGCCTTTATGTAGTTTTGTTTCAAGTAAAAGAAAACTACATACTACAAACTAGATGTACATACTGATGTATTTAGCTTATATACTACATACTAAAGTGTTTACAGATGTAATGATACTTGAATCTGTTTAAAAATAATCTATCCGGGAACAACCTGTTCAGGTCTCCCTTCTGTCCTTCTCCTGGACAGAAGCTTTCTTTTTCCCAGTAAATATTCTGCTCTTAACCTCCATCTGTTCCTACAATTCATTCTTTGGTTTTAGAGAACATGAATTTGGTCCCAGGCACCTTTCAGGTTGGGAACTTTATTCCCCTATATCACTTGAGGGTCACCCACCAAGATTATTGGATGGAGGTATGAGTTTGCTTTTCTTTCATAGACTTTTTCTTGACTCGTTTAGGTAACAAATTTTTATGTTTCAAATATTGAAACAAATGCAGCCACATACTTCCCTAGGGATGAGCATCAGGGATTGATATTCTAAATAGGTTTCAATCACCTTGAAAGAGCCCAAGTCACTAACCCAACCCCCAACAGGAAGAGACCCTGTCCCATATTTACGCCCACTTGCTATGTGACTCACTTCCCCCATTTGATTCTGATTTAATCAATTTTACCTAAGCAATGGTGCTTATAATCTCATTGGTTGACCACTGTTTTGTCCCACCTCATGCCCACCTAAATTCCCATGCTCTCCATCTTGGACCTGCCTCACTGCATAGTTTTACTCTATAAAAATCCCTGGAAGAGATACATTCCCGGGCAACCCACTGGAGTCCCTCTTCTGTCCCTCTCTTTGACAGAAGCTTTCTTTCCCCCAATAAATATTCTGCTCTTAAAAAAAAAAAATAATAATAATCTATCCATCGGAGAATGGCAGTAGGCAAGAAAATAGAGTAAATGGAGTCACAAATTGACAGTTATTAATGGAGGATGAATTAAAACATTCTCTCCACCTGTTTTTGTTTTGTTTTTTAAAGGCAAGGTCTTGCTATGTAGTCCAGGCTAGTGTTTTTGTTGCAGTTGTCGGGTTTTTTGTTTGTCTGGTTTTTTGAGAAAGGTTCTCCCTATACAGTTCGGGTTGACTTTGAACTCACTTTGTATCCTAGGCTGGCCTCAAACTCACAGTGATCCTCCTGCCTCAGCCCATCAAGTTCTGGGATTATAGGCATGCACCACACACCTAGCTTAGGTAATCCTCTCACCTCAATCTCCAACATGTTGAGACTACAGATATATATCATCCATCACATTCAGTTCTTTCCATTTTTATATATGTCTTGAGACATTCCATAATATAAAGCTTTAGAAGTTTTTTTGGAGTATAGATTTTAGATGCAGAGCAGCATACACAGTGTACCAACTTTATGTAAGAGAAAAACACACGCGCACACGTACGTGCACACACACACACACACACACACACACACACAGGTAACAGGAATATATAAAACTGAAAAGAGCCAGGCATAGTAGCACATAACTGTAATCCCAGCACTTGCCAGGCTGTGAGGCAGGAGCTCAAGGTCAGCCTGAATTACATAAGGAGACCGTGCCTCCACAAAATAAAATAAAACAAAACACCTGCTTTTACAGCTTCATGCCTGTAAGGAAGAAAGGAGCAGAGTGAGAAGGTCAGGATGAAAGTGACACTTCCCTGAGCGTACCTTGTTACTTTTTTACCTTTGAAAACACATACAAATTTTATATTAGTTTAAAAAATCATGCAGCTTGGGGCTGGGGAGATGGCTCAGTAGGATAAGTGCTTGACCGGCAAACGCAAGAACGCAAGGATCTGAATTCAATCCCCGGTTCCGAAAAAAAAAAAAAAAAAAAAATCATGCAGCTTGGCACACAGAGCATGTCTATAATCCCAGCACTCTGGAAGGCTGAGGCAGAAGAATGTCAATTTCAGACCAGCCTGGGAAATTCGGCACTTGGCAAGACCCAGTCAATCAATCAACCAGACTGGGAATGTAGTTCAATGCAAAGGCACTGAGTTCTATCCCCAGTTCTACAAAAATAAATAAGTAAATATTCAGGAGATTATAACATGCCCCTTAGGGTGGTATTATACAAGAAAATAAGTGCCGTGAGAGGAGATGGAGAAGCTGGTACCTTGCAGCACACTATTAAGTGAGACTGTAAAAGGTGTGGCTGCTAAAAATACGATCGGTCCTCAAAAACTGAACAGATTTACCATATGATCTGAAATGTTATTTTTGGCCAAATAATAAAGATTCAAAAGCAAAGTCCCAAGAAAGATACGTTTATACCCAATTTCATATTAGCATCATTTAGACTAGTAAAAACATGGAAGAAATCCAAATACCATTCAAAAGATTAATGGATAAAGATTAATGGATAAACAAAATGTAGTACATACATGCACACAGAACAGGCTCAGCCTTTCAAAAGCAGGGATTCTGACAAAAGCTACACACATGGATGACCTTGAGGACATGCCAAGTGATATAAACCAGGGATAAAATGACAAACACTGCAGGAGTCCACCATATGAGGCACCTAGAGTAATCAAGTTTACTGAGACAAATCAGAATGGTAACTGGCAGGGGCTGCGAGAGGGGATAAAATGGGAGGTTGTCCAATGGGCCAAGGGTTTGAGTTTTGCAAGATGGGTTCTGGAGACTGGTTGCACAACAATGTAAATGTATTTAGCGCTGGTAAACTGGACAACCAAAAATGGCTAACTGGAGGCATGAGGATGATCAGCTGCAGCATCTGTCACCCCATGGCACTGATCATTTGGGTTGATTTAGGGACAGGAAGACAGTTCAGCAGAATATAAGCACTTGCCTGGCAGGCGAAAGGGCCTGAGTTCAACCCCCAGTTCCGCAAAAAAAAAAAAAAAAAAAAAAAATAAGAATTTGAGCAAGGGAGATAGCTCAGTAGAATAAGCCCTGCCTGGCAAGCTCAGGGTCCTGAGTTCAATCCCCAGTACAAAAAAAAAAAAAAAAAAAAAAAACCCTAAGGCATTTGGGTTGATTTGGCTGCCCTGTGACTGGCTGTCCTATTCCCACCTCACTGCCCCATGTGTGTCCCTCCTGAAGCTGGCTTCGGGTCAACAAGATGGCCACCCCCAACAGAGGTGGGCCATCTCCTCAGTGAAGGGTATGAGAGAAGATGCGCTCCCTGCTAGAACCTCTACACAGCTCTCAAGGGATGGCTAACTAGGAAACTTCACGTGTATTTACCAAGATTTAAAAAAATTACTGGAGCACCCAGGAAGCTTAGGCAGGAGGATCACTGTGAGTTCCAGACCAGCCTGGGCTACAAAGTGAGCTCAAGGCAGCCTGAACTGCATTAGACTAAAAAAGATAAATAAATAAATAAAACAAATTAATGGGCTGGGCACAGGGAAGCATACCTATAATCTCAGCACTTGGGAGGCTGACTGCAATATCGAGGCCAGCCTGGACTACACAATGAGACCCTGTCTCAAACAAACAATAAAATAAAATCATTAGGTAAATGATAGGGAGCTTCCCAGGCATGGTGGTATATGCTTAATCTCAGCTACCCAAAAGACTGAGGTAATAGGATCATAAATCCCAAGCCAGTCTCAGCAATTTAGTGAGTTGTTGTCCCAAAATTCAAAAATTAAACTCGGCATGGTGACGCATGCCTGTAATCCAAGCACTTGGGGAGGCTGTGGCAGGAAGACGGCTGTGAGTTCAAGGTCAGCCTGGGCCACAAAATGAGTCCAGGCCAGCCTGGAGTATGCAGATAGAGTCAGTCTGTCTTTTAAAAAAAAAAAAAAAAAAAATTAGCTAAGTGTTGTGGTACATACATACCTGTAATCTTGACACTCAGAAGGCTGAGAAAGGAGGATCTTCATGAGTTCAAGACCAGCCTGGACCACATAATGAGTTCAGGGCCATCCTGGACTGCATAGTAAGACCCTATTCCCCCAATTTTTTTTTCTTAATTTAAAAGGCTTGGGAGGGGGGCAGCCAAATAGCTCAGCGGATTAAAGCACCTGCAAGCAGGAGCAGGGGCCAGGGGTTCAATCCCCAGGCCTGCTGTGCCAGACCCATCCTGGGGGTATGCCAGGACAGCAATGGAGACTGGGCATGATGGTGCACACCTGTAATCCCAGCACTTAGGAGGTTGTAAACAGGAGGATCACTACAAGTCTGATGTAGTAATGAGACCCTGAACATCCTGTAGACCCTTCCCTAAAATACAAAAATAAAAATAAAAGGCTAGGAGTGTAGCTCAGTGAGTTTGACTTCCAGTACCATAAGAAAAAAACTCTATAATGAAGGAATCAGAATATCACCACCTAAACTCAATAATCAAGTTAGTATCATTAAAAAATAATCCGGCACTGTCTCATTGCTGTTTCTCAATAAAATTACGGAAAAAAATTGAAAAAAATAAACTATCCAATCAGAAGACCCTCCCCCCCAAAAAATAATCTGGCATCTGTGCCTCCTGCAACCATGACAGAGGAAAACAAAAACAACAAAAAAAACAGCCAGTCTGGCTTTTGCTTGCTTGCTTGCTTTTTCTTTGTTTTTTGAGACAGGGTCTTACTAGATAGTCCAGGCTGACCTTGAACTTGCAGTGATCCTCCTGTGTCAACCTCCCAAATGCTGGGATTACCCCTTCATCTTCTTTAAATATTTATTTATTTGGTATAGGGTCTCACTACGCAGCTCAGACTCAGTGATCTTCCTGTCTCAGACTCCAGAGTGCGGGGGCTACAGGCCTGTGTCACCACGCCTGGGGTTCTGGGACCAGCACAGCATGTGGTACCAGGGATCAAACTTGGGTCCTTGTGCTTGCCAGACAGGTGCTTAGACTGCTGGGCTATCTCCCTAGCCCCTATCCCTTCATAGGGGGAACTGCATCTCAATCTAATTAAATTGCTCCCTTGTTCCCTCCTTCCTCTCTCTGTCCCTCCTACCTTCCTCCTACTAACCAACACTAAAACTCTATGCAGCTGGGCACAGTGGCACACACCTTATTCCTGGCACTCTGTGAAGTCAAGTGAAGAGGATCAAAAGTTTGAACCCAGCCTGGTCAACTCAGTTACTTAGCAGGACCTTGTCTCCAGATAAAAACTAAAAAGGGCTAGGAATGCTGTTCTGTTCCTTGAAAAGAAGGAAAGAAGTACTCTAAAATGAAAAAGAAAAAAAGTGCTCTGAAAAGAAGTACTCAGCAGTGGTCTGAAAAAAGGAGAAATACATCCTGCATGCAGAATGGGCCATTTCAGGGGTACAAAGACAGCGGCCACAGGCCTAGCCAGGTCTCCTGTCCTCCTGATGGCCCCAATGTGCAGCCTCCCTGCCACAATGCTGCCTCACTGATGCAAGGGCCCTGGCTTCATCCCCAGTACAGCTGAAAGAAAGGAAAACAAAAGAGAGAATGGGAGGGGAGGGGAGGGGAGGAGAATAGGAGAGAAGGCAAGGCCATATGCAAGTTTATCTTGTTTTCAGGCTGCGGATGGGACACAAGGCCCAGAGTGTGCTGAGTTGCAGTTAGTGTTCTTGCTAAATTTTGGTTTGGAAACAAAAATATGGTGCAAAGAGGAAAAATGATCTATATGAGAAAGTGACTCTCAGGACTGTCCGAGAAAATTCTCAGGATGTATGACTCATTTTCTTCAGCCAGACCGTGTTGGATGGGATGCGAAGGCAGGGTCACAGAACAAGTGACAGAGCTGATAGAAACACAGCAGCATGTGGCTTGTGTTTGGATGCTGATTTCAAATAAGGCACTGCGAGGGTGTAGTTCAGTGGCACAGCACTTGCCTAGTATATATAGTGCTTTGGCTTTCATCCCCAGCATTACAAAAAAATTACCAAAAAACAAGCACAAATGTAAAACAATTTTTTAACCAGGGCCTCACATTTGCTAGGCAAGCACTCTACCACTGAGCTTTAAGATGACTTCTTTTCCCTACATTATTGCAAAAGTGTGGACTTGCCTTAGATAATACTAAGGAATATGATAAGGTGATAATGACAATAGAACAAGAAAGAAAAAAAGTTTCCTCCATGTGGACCTCCCCCTCCCAAGGTGGCTGGGGCCATGGGGGAAGATGAGCAGATCCGTTGGGAGGGAGGCAGATGGACAGCACGCAGCTGTCCATGCAGAAGACAGAAATCCAAGCTGCCATCCTGCAGCCCTGAACTGGTTCAGAGCCTGCCTCACACCATCCACACAACCCCTGCCTGGACACTGAAGCCTGGGACTGTCACAGAGAAACCCAGCAGCCCAATGGCCACTGAGGTCAGTTTGAGGTCTCAGAGCTCAAGCCTCAGCCCCCTCCTAAGCCCAGGCCATCTCCATGGCAGCAGGGCATGGGCATGCAAGACTCCAGGGGCTGAGAGCCCACCAGCCTCCCTGCAGGGGAAAAGAGCACTAAAGGTAACAAGAGTGCCTATGTGGGTACCCAAACCCTGACCTCTGCCTATGCAGACTTCAGAAGATGGTAAGACACAGGGTGGAAAACCAAACGCTCTGCCCTGGGTCCACATCACAGAATCAGAACCCTAGCCCCACTTAGGATATCTGCCTGCAGAGCCAGGGAAGAGGGACTGACCACTCTCCATCTGATTCCCTGGCAGGAAAATACCAAGAAGGAGAGGCTGAGAGGTCACAATGACCCTGTGGCACTCTGCACTCCAAGAAACTCAGAGATATAGCGGACTGGAGCTCCCCCTTACTCAGCACTGCGCTGCAACCTCTCCCCACACACCTCAGCCACGAGGCCTGAGCTCAGACTTTTGCTCCTTGTGCCAGCACACCCACCCGTCTCCTCCTCCAAACTCAGGCCCTGCTGAAATGTCATCTCTGTCCCTGTGCCTGCAGGTCACCATAAATTACTGTCACTGAGGCACTTTGTGCAACTAGGTTCATCATCTATTTTAGCCCAATCTCAGTCTGTCCCCCCACTGCAGCTGTTGGGTGGGGACAGTTGCCCTTACTGAGCTGCTGAGCTCTCCCATAGGAAAGTGGCATCCCTCGTGCAGCATGGGGCCCAGGACACAGCAGGCACTGGGAAAATGTGTGCAACCCACTGGCACCAAGACTGGCATGGTCCTGGATGAGCTGAGGTGCACAGAGCGACCTGCTGCCCTCCCAGGCCCTCCAGCACTGGCTGCAGGGGATAGGTGAGAGAGTATGTTGGGAGGCCATCTCTTCGATAGGCCCTGCTACCACAGATAGCCACCAGTGCAGAGTGCCTCCTAAGACAATGAGCTCAGCAAGCATAGCCAGAAATTGGCACCAGCAGTGGTGTGGTCCTGGGTAAGAGGAGAAGGCCACTGAACCCACACATCCTCTACCTGCATCCTCTTTCCTCCCATACCAGCCTGCCACTGGCCTCGCCGCAGTACCCCGAAGGGGAATTTGCAAGACAGCATGGCCATGACAGGACAAAACAACAACTTACTAAAGACACAGTCTTTGAATAAACAGAGTGAGACACAGGGACAGTGACTCACCCACCCAGGTCCCAGGTTCTTTGGGAACAAGCCAGGTTGGTTGCTGACACCTGCCAACCCCCAGGTGGTGATCCAGCCAAGGCCCCACCCAGGCCTGACAATAGGCCCACTGCCCAGAAGTTGCAGACGGAGTGGACCGTGGGGCAGTCACAACCCATTCACCACATCTTCAGGGTCTCCCCTCATTAAGAGCCGGACTTGTCCCCCAGTAAACACCAGGTGCTGTGTCCAGGTGAACCAGAATCTTCTTGTGAGACATCAAGACCCCACCAATGCTCCCGCATCTGGAGGTGCTCCCGGCACCCAACATGGAGCCCTTGGAGCCAGGGCCTGCTTACCAGCCCCTCGGTTTCCTCCGACGTCCTCTGGAAATGTGCAGCCAGGACCATGTAGTCCCGCATCTGCTTGTGACATTCAGGACATTTGGTTCCATACCGAATGAGCCTCACAGGGTCTGGGTAGAGCGGAAAAGCTGGGGGCAGGGGACTGTTGTTGCCTGAGGAGGCACCATGTTTGGGAGATGAGGAAGGAGCCGAGGCCACAGGGGCTGGGGTGCTCGTGGGCACCGACACGAACATCTGGTCAGCGGCGATGGGCTTCACAAGCAGCTGTGAACACTGCATGACGAGCCCCTTGCTCTTGTGGTCACGGGCATGCCGGAGAAGGCTACACTTGTTGAAGAAGAGCAGCGTCTGTGAGCAGAGCGTGCAGAGGGCCTCAATGTGGACACTGCGTCGGCTGTAGTGCTGGCTCAGGCTCTTCTCTAAGGCAAATGCATCCCCGCACTCCAGGCAGCAGTAGCCACTGGCCGGCACATGGATGCTGCTGTCTGCGGGTGGGCTGAGATTGGGTGCGTAGAGGGGAACAGGGTTGGAGCTGTGCAGGACCTTATTGAAGACCTCCACAATCTGGGGGGCAGCCTTCTTCACCTGGTGCACCAGGGGCACTGACATCTGTGTGAGCTGGGGCTGGCTCTGTCTCTGCGTGGAGGATTTGGCGGTCACTGATGCGGCGACGCTGTGGGGGACCAGGTTGAGGTTGGCCAGGTGCACAGCTTTGGGCAGGAGACTGGAGGGGGCCGGGGCCTGCGGGGCTGTGTTCTGTTGCTTTTTGCTCATTTTTGAGCCCTGGGCTGCCCCCTTGGGGACCTGGGGAGCAGAACTGCCACAGGGATATGAAGAGTCACCAGCCTTTGTCACATTCTCATCCCCTTTCCTGTCACCCTGGGGGCTCCCTGAATGTGTGCCTTCCTCTGGAAGGTGCCCCTCCAGAGGCAGGGCTGTGCCCTCATCCCCTGGCACCTCGCCTGGGGCCTCAGCAATGGCACTCCCTACAGGTGACCCCACAGGGGACTTACTTGGATCATCAGGGTCTGGCAGGATCCTGGTAACGGTCCTTTTGATTTCCCCTGATGATGTCTTTATGGTTTTGATTCTGACTTTGGGGATGGCTGGTGGGGAGCTGGCAGCCACAGATGGGGAGCCCCTGCTGCTGTCACTACAGATGCTCCGCGGGCTGTCTGATGGCTTAATGCTTTTCCGAGCGGCCTCCAATGGGCTCCGGGGACTCTTTGGTGACTTGGGCATTTTGGGGCTACCTTTGGAAACCTCTTTAGCAGGCCCTGAGGGATCCTTTGTGTGGCCAAGCTGATCCTCCTTGGTGACACTGGCCACCTTTCTGGCCTGCAAGGCCACCAAGGCTGCAACACAAGAGGACAGCCTGGAATGAGCGGGCTTGAGACGCTGTCTGGGAGGCACGGATGAGCAAGCTCCCAGCTCTGGGGTGGGCCTCTTGGGCTCACTGACACTGTGGCCAGGATGGTTATTAAATTCCAAAGCTTCCCCAAAGAAGCGGCTAGAATCCAGCTCTCTATGGGGCTCTGCTACCTTCTGCCCTCCTTGTGTGTGCTCCTCCTGGCTCTCCAAGGACATAGGCTCAGGCTTGGGTTCTTTCTTACAAAAGTGATCAAACATGTGCAGTTCCGGGACTGGAAACTTGGACAAGGCCTCCAGTACTGGGCCCCCCACAGTCCCGCACCCAGGAGGGGGCGGGAAATAACTGTCAGAGTGCTTGGGCTTTATCCCAAACCCGTTATCTTTGATGGGATCCTCAGACTCCGGACTAGAGATTGGGCTGAACTGGTTGAAGGTGGGTAACGGCTCAGACTTGGGAGGCTCCAACTTGTTAGGGAAATTCCTGGTGCTATCTCCATTTAAGAAAGTGGAGTCAAACTTCCCACAGTTGGGGGGATCTGGAGACAGATCTGGGCCCCGGAAGCCATTGTGCAGAAGGCTGGGGGTGATGTGGTCTTTCTCCGCCTCGAACGACTCCTGGCGACTGGTATTCTTGACAATGACACTCACAGCTGGCACATCTGGGGCGGATCCTAAGTGAGACAGGGCCACACTCTCATCCAAACACATGCCTGAGGGCTTGAGGGGACTCTCATTCTCCTCGTTGGGTGTCTGGATGGCTTCCTTGGCATCAAGGCTTGTGGGGTCTGGGATGTCGAAGGCAGCAAGAAGGTCATCAAAATCGGGGGTTTTCATATCCCCCATGGCTGGAAGCTCACCAAAGGCTGTAACACAAACAGGACACAATCAGTGACCACCAGGGCCACACCAGACTCTGACATTATCTTCACAATGTCCCACATGCACTGCTGACACAGCCATGCAGAATTCCACATTCTACAACAGGAAGTCCTAAAATGCTGGAATACAAGAAAGAGGTGGAAAGACAAACTTACACTTGGTGGCAAGCCTATCTGGCAGGGCCTACAAGTCCCTGGCACCTGTATGGCCATGAGACAGGGTGTACCAGTCCCACACGGCCCAATATACGGAGTAAGCACCCTCTGTGATGAACTGTACCCTAGAAAACAGCCAGCCCACAGTACCACCCTATTTTTCCTTTCTTTCTTTCTTTGTTTCTTTTTTTTTTTTTTTGGGGGGGGGGTACTTTTTTAGCTAAGGTCTTGCTGTGTAGCCCAGGCTGGCCTCAAACTCGCAGTGATCCTCCTATATCACTTTCTGAGTGCTGGGATTACAGGTGTGCACCACCACATCTAGTCCCACTCTTCTCAAGCATTGTTCATACTTCCCCCTTTAGAAAACCTCTGATTCATACAAGCCAGCTGACTGCATCATCCCCTACCTAGGCAATTTTTTCTCTATTCAGCAAACACACTTGATTCCTTGAGATTTTACTCTAAAGTTGTTACTGGTTGATGAATAAACCCAAAGAAACAAGACTCTCACATCTGAGAGCTCAGCGACTAAAGCACCTGATTAGGTAGAGTGCAGCACCCGAGGGTCAATCCCCAGTGTGCTGTGCCAGCCCTGCCCCCAGGGCGTGCTGAGATGGCAACTGAGACTGGGCATGGTGGCGCACGCCTGTAATCCCAGCACTAGGGAGGCTATAAACAGGAGGATCACTACTAGTCTGATCTACACAGTGAGACCCTGTATACCCTGTCCTAAATACTATAAATAAATAAATAAATAGCTGGAAATAAAGCTCAGTGGTCAGTGCTGGGCAACTGAAACTAGGTGTGGTGGTGCACACCTGTAATCCCAGCACTTGGGAGGCTGAAAACAAGAAGATCACTACGAGTCCGATCTATGTAGTGAGACCCGGTACACCCTGTAGAACCTGTTCTAAATACAGGAAAAAAAAAAAAAAAGAAAATAAAAGAAATTAAAATAAATTAAAAAATAAACCTAAAGAGCAGGGTGACCCTCAAGGGGCCATACAGTTACCAAATAGGCCAAGTGACAGTTTGGCAATAGACTAAATTCAACTTTAATGTAATACATGAAAACTAGAACAACCATGCAACTTTAACTTCATGTCCCCACTTCCTTCACCACCCGGTGAAGCACAGCTATAGAACTGCACAGCCAGCAGAGGAGAGCCAGGCTTTAGGAAGAGCCTTCTCAAGCCACCTCACTCGCACATGCATGGGGCTTGAAACTGGCTGGCCCCAACATTGGGGAGGAAGAAAAAGCAACTCCACCCTCCCCTCCCCTTGTGCGGCCCATAACTCGCCCACCTGTTTCCCTACCACAGGTCCTTCCTGGCTTGCACATTTCTTACACTATGTTAATGCTGGAACCATTCAAGCAGATTGGCACAGCTCTTTTAGAAAAAAGTGTACTTGTTCAACAATGTCAGGAAAGTGGCAAACTCCAGAGAGAACAAGAAGCCCACTTCAAGATACTTATCCTAAGAAGAAAAATTCCCAAAAGCCATACACAAAATTATAATGCTAAAAGTATGAAAGCAGTACAAAGAAGCCAGACACAGTGGTGCCTGCCTACAGTCCAGCTCTCATGAAGCTGAGGAGAGAGGTTCACTTTTTTGTGGGAGATCGGGGACTGGGGATTGGACCTCGGGTGCTATCCAATCCTATTCATTTATTTTAAATGTTGAAACTGTCTAAATTACCCAGGCTGGGCTCAAACTTACAATTCTCTTACCTCAGCTTCGGAGACTGTGTGGTATCATGGGATTTAGGTGTACCACTCCCCACCCCCTACCTCCATGCCCAGTTGGGGGGCAGGGGGGGATCAGTGAGGGGCAACATAGCTTGCAAGAGCCTGTCTTGGTGGTGGTGGAACCAGGGATTGAACTCAGGCCCTTGTGCTTGCCAGGGAAGCACTAACTCTGCTGAGCCATCTCCCCAGCCCCCGCAATAGCCTATCTTAAAGAAAAAACAGGGCTGGGGATATAGCTCCAAGGCACAGGACCTGCCTGGCAAGTACAAGTTCTGAGTCTGATTCACAGTACAAAAAAAGAAAACAGCAGCAGCATAGAGGAAACACACACATACACACACACACACACACACACACACACACACACACAAATACCCAAGAAAAGGGGATGATTAAATAACTGGACTATTGCAGACAATAAAAATTCTTTTTTGGGGGGGCCGGGGAGATGGCTCAGCGCAAAGGCCTGAGTTCAATCCCGGTTCTGGGAAAAAAAAAAAAAAAATTCCCTTTTTTTTTTTTCCTTGGTTTTTTTGAGACAAGGTCTCACTGTGCAGCTCAGGCTAGCCTTGGCCACATTTTGTAACCCAGGCTGGCCTTGAACTCTAACCCTCCTACCTCAGCCTTCCATACCTGGAACAAAAATTCTAATCATGAAATTGATATAGCAGTACAGAACATTACATATAATGGGTTTTTTCCCCATAATTTTATTGAGAAACAAATAGCAATGAGACAGTTTCAAACCAAATTGGTAGGACAGTTTCAATAATTAACACATTGCATACATTCTTCCTAGTGGTTAACTGCTGTACAAGATGCAGACTTGATATCCTATTTACAAACACTATTACAAAAAATCCCTCTATTCATTAAGAGAATGTAACTATATATCTATCCTAACCACTTTGAATACACAGATACAACATGGACATTCATCTGTATCCTTTTTTTGTTAAGTTCCATCATCATATAATGTTAAGTTTAAAAAGATTAACACAAAAATACTGTCAGTCTGAGAACATAAAACTATGGATTTGATCCACAATTAAAAGAAAAAATATGCAGATGGTGAGATTACTGCTATATTATTTTCCAAAACTTTTTTTTGGATGTACCATTTTTTTTTCTTTCCTCTCTTTAAAATAAACAATTGATACAGATCAGCGGCATAAGCATCTGCCCAGCAAGCCCAAGGTCCCAAGGTCAATCCTAAGTACCGCAAAAAATAGAATTCAAATACAGTTTTTACTAAAACACACACACACACACACACACACACACACACACAAACATTTTTTCTGGAAGCTAAGAGATTGCTTTTGTAATTTTAAAAAGGGGGAAAAAAAACACTCAGAAACACAACGAGAGCAGGTAGCAGGGCAGAGGCATACCCTTCCTGTCTCAAGGGGTCAGTGGGTCTACAGGTCTGGTTTCCCGTCCCTTGCAAGCCCTCCACAAAACCCAGGCAAGGCGCAGGAGGTCTCACAGAAGAGGAAAAGGTACCTGCCCATAAGGAAGGTCCCCAGGAGACACAGTGCAGGCAAATTATCCAAACAGCCTGGCAGAACACCTTAAGGGGTGGAACTTCTGGGCAGAACAAATGACTGTCTCTTGGTCTAGAAAGAGGACCTGAAGACAGGGAACACAAAAGTAATAGTGACCCAGGAAGTCTGCTGTTAAGCAAGCTACCACGCAGGTGACCATGACCACAACACTCACTTTCGGTTTGTCCTCTCTCTTCCCTTCCCACTTCGCCTGTGCTCCTCCTCTTTCCTTTCCTTTCTCTTAAATGTCCAGGAGAAAAAGGAATGAAGAAGGTAGAGTAGCTTGGTCCCTGGAAAGAGCAGGAAAAAGCAGGTAGGACAGGGTGAGGCAGATGGCTGCAGCCTGCCATGAGAGAGACTGTCCCATCAGAAGCAAGCAGGTTCTCCTCACAGAGGCAGTTCAGGCACTGGCTAAGAACAGGAAGAAGTAAATTAAGTATTTCAGGCTACAAAAGCAGAGTGTGGGGCCGGGGGAGATGGCTCAGTAGAATAAGCGCTTCCCTAGCAAGCACAAGGGCCTGAGTTCAATCCCTGGCTCTGCAAAAAAAAAAAAAAAA